TCACCTGCAGTGTGGATCACAGACTTCCGTCGACAGAAACAGCACGTGAGCTGGGAAAAATGTCTTGTCCCAGACTCAGCACGACCAAGGCTTGTTCTTTCTCTCTGCTCTCTCCCTGTATACTAACAGCTGCACTCCAGTCACCAGTCCGTCAGGGCTCCTGAAGTTTGCGGATGACACCTCCCTCATTGGCTCTCTCTGTGGAGATGAGTCTGCTACAGATGGGAGATTGACCATCTGGTGACGTGCAGCCAGAAAACCTGGAGCTAAACCTCTAAACAGGAAGATGGTGTGACTTTAGGAAGACCCAGCCCCCCCACCCCCATCTGTGTGACTCCCAGTTGACTCTGTGGAGTCCTTCCCTTCTGGGTACCATATCCCAGGACCTCAGTGGGACTGAACATCAGCTCCTCTCAAGAAAGCCAGCAGAGATGACTTCCTGCGGCAGCTGAGGAAGTTCAACCTCTGCCAAGACGATGATGGTGCACTTCTACACCGACCATCATCGAGTCCATCCTCACCTCATCCTCACCATCTGGTGCGCTGCCGTCCGACCTCCAAGGACAAGGGCAGACTGCAGGTATCATTCGATCAGCTGAAAAGGTGATCGCGCAATTGCCCATCCTTCTAGGATCTGTACGCCTCTAGGACCAGGAAGCGTGCGGTAGATTGGGCCTGACCCTCCCCACCCGGTCACAATCTCTTGAGGTACTTCTCCTCTGGCAGGAGGCTGCGGACATCAGGACTATACGTCTCGCCATAAACAACGTCTTTCCATCTGCAGCAAGCCCGGATTACCCACTGTCACTGACTTTTATACCCACCACTGCGTACATAAGTATGCATTACATAATGCACCCACGTCTTCTGCACAGCGTTCTCTTTCTCTTCTTATCTTTATCTATTATTTTTTTTGAAGTACTTTATTTTTTCTGTGTTGATTTTGTGTTGATTTGAATAATTGTATATGTTGCTATTTTTATGGCCCAACTGCACCAGGTCCATTCCTCGTAGGGCGTAAACACTACATATACAATAAATAAGGCATAAATTCTGATTCTGATTCTTATTCTGAACAGTTTTTTCCTTTTGTAATACACAATAACAATAATAGGGTATACAATAATACCCTGTAACATTGCACACAGTTATCCATTCCAGTTCCATCCATCTGGACCCTATTCAACTTTATTGTATATGGTGTATATATTTTTTTATATTCGAGAGTTCTATTATATTTTTATTTTTATTTCATTATATTTGCTGTTTGCACTACATTTCCCCTGTGCTGTTGTGCCAAACTTGAATTTTTCCTATGGGGGATCAATACATCAATCTTATCTTATCTTATCTTAAGACATGCAAAACTATAGTGTCAGCTCTTCTTCATCATATAAAGACAGTACAGATTAAAGAATTTTGTTATGTTACATAAAACCCTTCAGTAAAAGTTATTAAATTTAAATACCATGCTTAAAAAACCTAGATGAATAGATGATTGATTGACTAAGGTGTGCAGTAGGGTACATCTAACAGTGCAAGCTTTAGGCTATGAAAGAGACATCCACCCCTAGGGTTGTCTCTTTCATAGTCTTTGAGTCAATAAATCAATGCTGCTCTCCCACCAAAATACTCACAGGTGGATTTTGGTGGATTTACTGTAGCATGGAGCCTTTGTCTATGATGTCACAAATAACTTTTCATGATATATAATGTCGAAACTAATACCGTAAAAGGTCTCAATGAATTCCATTATTCGCCTGTACTGTGGACTGTACTGAGAAATAATGGGACTGAAAGAGTTAAAAGAGTCTACCTGGATTTGAAATCTATAGTTTGTCCATCTAAATATAAAAAAACCCTCTTTTATAGAACTTGACAATATGTTAAGTAAATACTTTAAGTAAATATGTTTTAAAACATGATCTCGTATGCCTAATGACACAACACAATGACAAAAATGAATTATATGGGTATTATTTGTTTCTTGTCATTTAATTAGATCTCATGTATGATATGCCTGGCATTGTGGTGTCACAAAGATTGGTTAATGATTATAACAGGCACCTGGCATTTAAAGTGAGTTATGACTCTGACTCATTGATTCCTGGCTCAGAAATATCCCAGATTCCAGCAAATGACGACATCTGACGCATGAATGTTATTTAGTGTAACTCCAGATATTGCCTCTCATAACAGTGGTGGGGCCTGCAGTGTCCCTCCACAGTTGGCATGGTACACGGTATGAGGTACAAGTAAAACAACCTATATTATATATCTATAAATTAGAAATGTTATGCATTAGAGGAAAATATCTTTTTTTATTACATTTATTTGTACATTTTAATATTATTGTATTTTCTATTACAATGTATTTTAATAAATATAAATGCTATACTGTAGTATTTGAGTGTGAAATGTAATTGTTGACTTAGAAATAGTAGTTGGACAGACACTGACTAGCTTTTTCCAGGGCAAATTAATCTCACAGTTTAAAAGGAAAACATTTAGTGAGGAGAAGTGTAGCAAAGCAGATATCAATCAAAATGTGATCCGCCTAAACAGTGTTCAGAAATGGTCTAAACAGCTGATTGAGTGTATTACGTACAGTAATTTCTGCCAAAGGAGAGCTGTGCATTTATCCTCTCAGGGCTGTAAATGTGTTCCCTGATGGTTTAAATATCTTTATATTCCACTCTATTCTTTAAACAACATAACAGCAAGTAATTAAAATAATAAGAATCAAATGAATACGAACTGAAATGAATATTTACTTGGAAATAAAAAACAGCTCTTAGAGGAATGTTTTCATTTATCTTATTCTGCTGGCTTTTGGCAAGACAGTATAGACAGATGAGACTAAAATGGTTGTCTGGAAACAGTGATACCCCAATATTGCAAGGAAACATTACAAATCACAGTTTAAAAAGCAGAACAGTTGACAGGACTAAGAGACTGTGGATCCCTGTCCTGGATTTCATATATAAACATTGTCCAAGCAGCTACTGAAGGTTTAAGTGAATGTGAAAAACTTGAATGTCCTAAATTAACCTCCACTCAAGTACAAGTATCTCTCTCCTCTCCGCTTTTAAAGTTGCTTACGTGTGATACCTCAGTATGCACAATGCAACTCTACTCCATGCTAGGGTCTAAATGAGGAACACATAATCAGCACAACAACTTCAATTAGTGTTACATCTAAATTAAAAATATGGATAATTATCTAAATTGCTTTTATCATTGTATATGTTGCACGTCAAAGTAATCTCTTTCTGATTCACTAAGAGCTCACTTCAGTCACTTGCTATTATTTCCAAATAATTATTATCCCCTCATACAAATAAAACCTCTTATCTCTTATCTACTCATGGTTTACAGATTTAAATATTTTTTTTTGTACACAGGCAAGTACTATATTCCTAAGGGGGTGCACTGTAACAGTTTAATGTCTACATTAAAAAAAATAATAAATAAAATATATAGTTTTGTAGATTGTGTTCTCTTTTTGAAGCCGCTGTTTTGATTCATATTTTTAATTACTTTATTGGGGTCACCACGAAAAAATGTATGAAACAAAGTTAGTCTTTTGCGACTGCAGGGCCTTGTAAACATATGATTTAAAGACAAATGTTACCATCAAGTGGTAAACTTTTGACATTACACAGCAAGCCTACAAACGACCCTCCGCTGCTTGTAAACCAACCTTTACCACACACTGAAGGCGCCTATTGGTCAGTGGAAGCAGCCTTTACTTCAAGCTCATTTCCGATTGGTTCGTTGAAACTCCAACAGCCAGCATGCTCTCTAACCATAGGTTTGTTAGCTTTAGCGTTAGCGCTTTGGTAGTCAAGTCTGAGTCCGACAGTCAACAGGTAGGTTTTTGAGTTAATATACTGTAGTTAGCATTAATTACACACATGCTTACGTGAATTAGCTTATTATACCCTCACATACCTCATTTCTATTCGTCTTAGAGTGAGTGTTCTTAGTAACCTAGCTTTAGTTAGCACTCATCTCGACTTTGATGTTTTAGCGTTTGCTAATTAGCATTGAGTTAGCAGGGTTAAGTTTGTTTCATCCAGAATTGCGTTAGCTACCGACTCCGGCACAAGTATCTTTGACGGGGAACGAGTCTTGCACATCAGCTGTGGTGTTTGTTGTCTCTGCAGCGACAGTCCCCGCTGTGCGTGTCTCTGCTACAAACCAGTTTAAATGTGGCGGTTTGCATCATTTGTGAAGTGACGACGTGGGAGGCGCAGCACGGAGCCAACTGAAGCTAATGTTGCTAGGCAACAATTAATTCAGTATGAGCATAGGTTTAACATTGACCAAAACAAATATTTTATTTTCAAATGGTAACAGTAGATGTAGCAGGGCGTCTTGCTTTATAACACAAAAAAACTGTATGTTTATAAAGTTCTCAACATTAGAAAAGTGGATGACCTAGAGACAGGCTGTGGTTAGGTTACGTTAGCGTACCATTTATACAGTCAGTTACCATGGCAACACGCCTGAAGATATAACGCTAACGTTAACTAACGTTAGGTCCATATAAACAACGCTGAATAACGATGGCCAGTTAGGATTTTCGGTTCTGTGCACCTTAATCGTATATAAGTCGGTGCACTAATAAAACGCTAACATGCTGTGTGAAGCCCAGGTGCTATATAACGTTAAAGAGGGCGTCCTTGTGTAAGGTAAGAAAATTAGGGTACGCGTAGCTTAGTTAGCCTTTACTTAAACGCTACCGTTAGCATGACAACTGTGGTTTCTGCCGTCACCGAGGAACCTACGTGGAAGTAATTAAAGATATTAAACGCATTGCCTCCCTATATGTAACGTTAGTTGGTAACCACTGCGACAGCGACCTCGCTTTATAATACTGAGAGGAACAGTGTTTGTGGTACTTTGTTTTATCTCACATCAAGCAACACCGCAGTGCTCCCAGCACGCGTTTATAGGCTGCTAATCCGCTTTGGACGTCTTATTTTCAGGGATGGGAGAGACGCCTGTGGTGATCCTCCAGCACCAGATGAGTGGCATAGAGTGACGGTGCAAAAGCAATGTTGTGCTGCCGTGTACAATGAAGAAGATATTCAGCTTTACTAAGAAAAAGAAACCACCGTCCGGTACTCCTGACAATGGGAGTGTGCTTTCTGTTGGCTATGAACTAAAAGACAAGGACCTCGGGAAGGTTCACAAGGCTGCCTCAGTGGGTGATGTGGCAAAGTTAAAGCAGCTTGCCAAAAAGAATGACATCAATCAACTTGACAAGGAAAACAGGTGAGTGGGAATAAAGTCACATCCTTGAAAGTGTCTGTCTTTGCTGGATGCATTTCTGTCTACAATATACGTACGACATGAATAGCTTAATAAAGTGTAATGGTCTTTCTTGACACGATCTCTTAAACTCTTGTCTGTTTCTCCTTTGACACATAATATTGGAGCGTCTCTTTTTCCCACTCTTCATCAGTATATATATTAGAGCCTACATCAACGGTCAAAATGAACTCTTGGCTAAAGAGTTGCAGGATTTCTTTGTTCAACACATTAGTTGATTTGGGGGGGATCAGCCAAATCGACGCTGCTGAAATAAGAGAACTTTTCAAAAATATTATTTTGCCATTATCACAGAAATGGAGCAGCTCTGCTCTAAGGTATATTGTTGAGTATAGTATGCAGTATGGACTATTTTATTCATAGTAGAGTTGGGTTGTGTTAAAACAATGTCCATTATTTAGAAAGTTAACAGCAAACCTCCAGCTATACTTAGCACCAAGTAAAATGTACACGACACCCCATTGTTTCTTTTCTACTTATGTTTCAAGGTGGTTTCTAGTTACAATTTACAACTGGTATGTGTCAGAAGTACGTGAGTTGTGTACACAGAGGACTTCAGGCAATTGTCAGAGTGTAATAGGGAAAAAAAGAATTCAACTTGTCAGAATCGGTGAAATGTTACCCAATATTTATCAAACCATTTGATATATAAAGCCCTGCGAATTCTAAAACATGCTTTGTAATTACATCTTAATATTGGAGCTGAACTTTCACACAATTCCTGAAAGCAAATTCCCTGCTTGTGGCACAATTAATGGAATAAGTTTGTATTATAAAGTTATTATTGATTGCACTTCAGATCAGTGGAGGTGTTGCAAATGACAAACTCTCTCCTTCACTGTTACAGAACTGCACTTCATATTGCCTGCGCCAGTGGACATGTTGAGGTGGTGCAGTTCCTCATTGAGAGCAAAGCCAAGCTTAACCTATGCGACAATCAAAATAGATCCGCCTTAATGAAGGTAATCCTGGATGGTGAGACTGTAACACGAGTGTTTAATGTTAAATATATTGTGACGACCGTAGTTGCCTACTTTTCTCATACACTGTTTCAATGTTCAATTCTCCACTGTATCAGGCAGTGCAGTGCCAGCATGAGCGCTGTGTGAGTATACTGCTGGAGAATCATGCCGGGCCTAACCTTGTAGACATCAACGGCAATACAGCCCTACATTTAGCAGCAAACATCCCATCCATTTCCACCGCTATCTTGCTACTGGAGCATGAGGCTAACATCAATGCACAGAATAAGGTGATTCTGTCTTTTTTTTCTACCACAATAGCCAGCCATAGGCCAAACATTAGGATGATCATCAATTGATACAGAACTAGCATTGTGTTACCAGATGTATTTGAATTGTGAGTACATCCAGCTAAGACGCTAGGGGTTGGACAATATCTGACATACTTTATCTATATCTTAATGAGAAACTATTAACAGCTGTGCCATTACAGCTCATATTATCATATCAACAGTCTTTATTGCAATAACCAATCATGGCCACTAGGGGCCGACTCTCCAATGTACAAGGTTGTTGAATGTGATCTAATCTTTAGGAAGGATTCACACCCTTGATCGTGGCAGTCCGTGAGGACCATATTGAGATGGCTGAGTTTCTCATCAAGGCGGATGCTGATGTCAATTTTGTGGACCAAGATCAAAGGTCAGTACTAAACAGTAACACATTTGTGGTACATGTGTAATAGTTTGGATGTTGCTGATTAATTGTTTACAGTTGGTCATGTTGCTATCTTTGATTTTACCTGCAGGTCTCCGTTAATGATAGCTGCTGGCAATGGACAAATTGGTATGGTGCGGCTGCTGTTGCAGTTTAATGCCGATATCACACTAAAGGATACCAAAGGATGGTCAGCAGATGACTACGCAGTGATGAATGGGCATCATCCGTAAGCTGTGCTTCTTTTCTTTGCACTTATGTTTCCAGATTGGTATTTCCTTTGTAAATTATACATTTCCTTTTTCTTTTAGTTTCCTGTACTTTCTCACGGCATATTTATATACCTGGAATTGCAAAAGCATGTTAAGGCCTATGACTTTATGATATTTTCATTGTCCTTTAGTTGTTCCCTCCTGATCATTGAGCACAGTACCCAGAAGAATGATGGACAATCCCTATCGCATCAAGGTCCAAGCAAAAAGAAGAAAAAAACGCTATTGGGCAGTCCTTCCCAAGTTGTTGAAGCAGGCTTCTCTCTGGGTGGACCAGCCACTGACAAAGATGGTAGGGATATAAGTTTTCATCACATAACAGTGAACGAAAGTTGTGTGAGGATATTATTATTGTCTGTATTTGTTATTGACTTGGATTATTTTATTTTATTTAACAATAATACAATAACTCATTTATTTCATTTGATTTATTCCTCATGCATCTTGACTGGATCTAGAGCATGGAGCAAATGAAGCAGGGGGAGGTACTATTTTGCATAGATGAGTTTTGTTAGCAAAATCAGTCAAAGGTTGTATGTTTCTTGCCAGTGAAGAGCATTAACAGTTACTAAGGATAGATACAACTTAATCCTGTTTTCAGGAAATGCAATTTTTTGTGCTGCTTAGATCTTAGTGCTTTTGTGCACCTTACTTTTTCTGCTTTTTAAGATTAAAGGCCCTCAAGATCGTGTATTTGACAGTCTTAATATTAAAATGACATGTACCTTTCTAAAATGTATTCAAGTAAAGTTAAGTATTTATCAGCTGAAAACTAGTTTTTTTGCTTTGTTGCAGATTTTGAAGACAATTCTCAGTCGGAGTCACTAAGTCGGTGAGCACAATTTTCTTCTCGTGCAACTTCAAATGACAGTTGACTTCCAGACTCAAACCAATTTTCTTCCCTCAGGATTTCAAAAAGTGCTGCGGATGAATGGCCTTCATCTGAAGACGATGATGAATCGATTTTAATCGAAAAGGTCGGTGCTAAAACTTAACCCTGCTAAAGCAAAGTATGTTTTTCCTAAATTTAATCTTGGCCTTCATTTGAGATGCTGTCTTTCAGAAACCACAGAAGGTAAACCTAAGGAAAATGATTGCATCTAAAAGGGGAGAAGGTACTGAAAATCTTTTAGCCTTATTAGCGTCCCTCTATAGTGTGTGATTTTTGGTAGTAATCTTTTATCCCTGCCTGCCTTCTAGCTTCTGCAATGCCTGACAGATCCTTGAGTGGTTCAGAATCTGAGCCCGAAAGTGAGAATAGAGTTCAGAGAATCCCATCCCTCCCAAAGGATTTACCACCCAGCAAAACACCACAGCACCCATTAGATCCCTCTCCCATTTCCTTACTACCCAAAGCACCCCAGATGACTTCTACCCCTCTTCCAAGCTACAGAAAGGTAACATATTTGTGTTGAAGCTTTGCCACTTGCATTTCTGTGACATCTGTCTCTCCTTCTATTTTTCTCCTAAATGCTTAAAACAAGAAGCTGATCAGGACAAAAGCAAAAACTATGAGCAACCCTCAAGTAGTAAAACAAAAGCAGACTCTCAAGAGGGAAGCCCAGAAGCCGAGGAGTCTGAGGAAGAAGATGAAGAAGAAGAAGAAGAAGAAGAAGAAGAAGAAGAAGAAGAAGATGAAGAAGATGAAGAAGAAGAAGAAGAAGAAGAAGAGGAAGAGGAGGATGATGAAGATGATGAGGAGGAAAGTGAAGAAGAAGATGGGGAAGAGGATGAAGAAGAGAATGAATGTGAGGAGGAGGAGGAGGATGAAAACTGCGTGGCTTCTGTTGAGGCCAACGCTTCTGAATTTGAAAATGTACAAAAACCGTCTTCTGGTTCCCTTAAGATTACTGACAGTGCTGATACTCAAAATGAAACTAGTCCTGGTATTGTAGGTGAGAATTTAGATGTCTTAGAGAAAGAGACTCAAAACTCAAACAATGACGTTGATGGCCCAATTGAAAGTGTAAGTTATGCAATACCAGTGGCATTAGATGTAGAGGAGGATTGTGTCGTGTCAGCCGTTAGGGTTGAATCAAAATTTTCTGATGATGAAGACAGCCTTGGGAAGGAATGCATATTGCCATCAGACCAAAACAGAATTTCAGACGTGGATTCAGCCATCACACCATCCGGACACCACACAGAAACTTGTTCACCTGCTGAAAACAAGGAGGAAGAGTTTGAAAGAGAAATGGAAAAGGATGATGATAATTCCTGGAGCAATAAACAAAACAGTGGCGAGACAGTGTGGAATGACAGCGATGATGAAGAGGATAATCAAAGAGGGGGATTTGGTCGCAGAACAGTACTCGCTAATCGAATAAATATCGTGCCTGAGGATGGAGTGGAAAACGCAGACGGTTCCTCTGTTGCTGAAGATGATGCTGGATCAAAGAAAGAAGCATTTAAAGAACAGAAACGCAGATCCTCATGGGGCTCCTCATTAGAGGACAGTGACAATGACCTACCTGGAGAAGATAAGGTAAACAGGGAGACTCTTGACCAGAAAAGTGATATTCCAGCATCAGATTTACAACAAGAAGCAGCACCACTGCATTTGAAAAGCACATTTCCTCAACCAAATGAAGACATCCCGGATACCTCATGGGATTCTTCTTCACCAGTGGCACCATCTCCAAAATGTGTCTCACCTCAGCCAGTGCTAGATGAACCTATGTCCTCTTTGCAACCAGCAAAGACAACAGTAGATGAATCAGAGTGGGATTCTTCTTCTGAAAATAATGACCCAAATGATAACAGCCCCTTCACTAAAGGTGAAATGCATTCACCAATTTCTAAAACAAATATTGTAACAGAAATCCAGCCTGAGCAGAAACAGTGTTCTGATGGCTCTTGTGAAGAAGAAGATAAAGAAAGTATTGAGAAAGAGTCAAATGACGCCTCCCCTGCTGTGTCACCAATGCCTGAGGATGAAAAAATAACCAGAGACCAAATATTAGATAACAATGATATTGAAGCAGTTGGTCAGTCATCACGAATGGAAGGAGAATTAGACTCAGAGAATGAGAAAGGCAATGAAAGCAGTTGGGATGATGAAGATGAAAGTGATGAATCAGAAAAGCAGAAGACAACAGCAGAAGGTAACACCTCGAAGACACGTCCTTCTACCCCGACCAATTTGCTGTCGCCAGAGTCGAGGCCCACAAGTGCAGTAGAGGGAGAAGCTGAGGTAGATGATCTTAAGGGAGATGAAGGCAATGAAAAGGTTCTTCAATCTGTTACTGGTGGAAATGAGTCTTCTGAAGAGGAAAAGCTGCTGGAGAGTAAGAAAGATGATCCCTGCAAAGATGATGATACAAGTGAGGACTCTGACAGCAAGGACCAGAAGCTGCAGTACGATTTTGCCAGCGCCACAGTCAAAGTATCTGATGTGGGAGATGATTCTGATAACACTCTTGATGGATGCCTGCATGGAGGCGACAAGTTAAATGATGAACATGAGGCTAGGTTAACTTCATATGTTCCATTAGAAAACAAAAGCACCGTGTTGTCAGATGACCTCAGCGAAGAACCAGGAAGGGAACAGATTTTTGCTGCTGATCAACACCGTGATTTTGATGTGAACTCGTTGTCCGATGAAGTGTTACCGCAAACTGATATTGATGATGTTGAGCTAGACTCGCCTGATGAGGCAGAGAGCATAGGCATAAGAAGTCAAGAGCTCAGAAACATTGAAGAGCCTGTCATTCAGGTAAAACAGAAGTAAAACAGGTAGTTTCTAGTTGTAGCAGTTTGTGCAATGTGTTGCCTCTGTAAGCCCTCTAGCTACTTCCAAGTTTGCTTAGTGCTTTCCCGTTCATTAGAGATGCCTTAAAGACACATGCACTTGTAGAAATTACGGATGCACCGATTATGAAAGTCTTTTTTGTTTTATTTTGTTATTTGCAGGAGATTATTTCTCCAGTATTTGAGTTGGAAATAACCAACACAACATTAAACCAGAGCAAAATTGATGCGACACAACATATAAACATTGGTGAATGTCATCTAATTTGCCGATAGGTCAGCCAACAAGGCGAATATCAGGCAATACCGATGGTCTGGCCCGATAAAATATGGTGCATCCAATAGAAATAGATTTAGAAGTTAGAGTATATGGATTACAATATAAACAACTTTATGTTTTTTACGCAGAAAGAAGAATCCACTGGGGATGAGGATGATGATGATGATAAAGAGGAGGAGGAAGAGGAGGAAGGAGACATTTCAGATGAAAATGATCAACCTGAAGGGAGTGGAGAGTCCCTTGATGCCACTTCACCTGTTCCAGAGACAGAAGTCTCCAAAGATAAGAAAAGAGGTAAGGAGCACATCATTTGTAACAGATTTTCTCAACATGGTATGAACAATTGCATGTGCATAGAAATGTTAAATTAGTTACAGTTACAGAGATTTAATTTGGATTGTTTTGCTCTGTGTGAAGGCATTTTCACAATATTTTACTTTATTTACTGTGTTATTGAATATGTGGTCATACAGTATTAAAAAGTATGTAAATCAAAACTTCAAAGATATAAAGGTGCATCAAGAATAGTTTTGAATGGAATTTGAAGATGAATACAAATCAGTTTTTTCTGCATTGGCTTCTCCTGTCCAAGACATCCTGTATGGCTCTGCAACTACCATTGCTTTTCGGTTCTATCAGTGTAATTGATCTTCGTCTGTTGAAATAGATTTCCTGTCCGAGCTGGGTCTAGAGAAGGGAGAGGAAGAGCCGGATTCTTGGGACTCTGAGGTACATCATACACACATCTTGGAACAACTTTTAGGAATAACTAGATGTTCGCCACAGAGATTCTCACAGATTTTTCTCTTTCAGTCCCACTCTGAAAACCCCAATATACCCCATGAAGAGAAACAAAGCCTGCATACTCAGGATCAAGAAGAGACAACCAAAGTTCAAGAAGAGCTTAAAGGTTATATATACGAAATTCACTTGTCACTGAATGTCACACTAAAGTTAGATGTTAAAATATTTGTGAAAACGTGCTGCAATGGCCGCAACAAGTAAGCCAGTTTAGAAAAAGTTTAGTTTTTGTTATTCTAAGTGTATGACAACATTAAGGAAAGGATCCCTAAAGAGATTGGCGTTTTGTTTAGCCAGAAATGGCCGTAATATCGCTATTGCTCGCCATACTCGAGAGACAAAAATGGTAATTTTACCTTGCGTGTCATTGTAACTATTAAAAAGTAATCAGAAGCAAAATACAACTCAACCAGAAAACACTACTAACTCTGCTTTGGTCGAAATAAAGCCTTAATTCACTGCTTTGTCAGTCACTTTATTCAGCTGCACAATGAGCAGACCGGCTATGTAAACAAACGCCACAAAGAGGCTGCAAAAGCAACACAGGCAAAGTGAGTTTGAAATCATTCTCTTCTCAGGATGTCATCACAGAGCAAATAGTTGTTTGCTGCTATATTAATGTTCTAAATCTAATATGTTTAACCTTTAAAGAAAGATGTTCTATCTTGTTATTGTGGCCATTATTGTGAAATGGGGACACTTTTGACTCAAAGGTCATTGTGACCTCAAAATCATTTTTAGGAATAATTTAAGAATAAACTGGGCAATCCCAGATTTCACAAACATGTTTACAGGGACAAAACAATGAGTAAGCAATAACCAGCACCGTACAGACTTTCATCTTTCCATCTAATCCATTCTGCCCTTCACTTAATGCCTCATTCTGAATTTAAAGCATCACAATTGCATTTTGTATAGCTGTAAGAATCCATCTTTTAATATAGTTAACAAGTACTTGTGTAATGTATGTTCACTGGAATCACATATGTATCAACAATATAGTGATAACTCCCATTTAGCCAAAATATACACTACATTTTTATTTTAAATCCTTTCCAAGTAATCAATACATATATTATATGAGTGTGGACAGACATGGATGTGAACTGCAACTTGACTGGTCGGCGTAGACATACAACCGCTGGGCGGTAATTCTAGTTTGTTTTTTCATAGCAATCAAATCATTCCAGGCACCATTTCATGCTGCAGAAACAGTCTGACCTTATTTAATTATAACAATAGAAAAACTGTATTAATGCATGCTTTAATTTTGTCTGTGAGTAATGGTTCAAGCTTTGTGTTTTCAGTCTTAATATGTGTAATGCAATCGAAACAGCCTTTCCAACATTATGTTACATTTCTTTTGTAGACTTGTTTTATATTCCCTCTTTTTTAAGAGGAGAAGGAAGCAATAGGATGGCAGTGCTAGAGCCTTGGAGGAGTGTAGGCAGGCCAGGAGGAAGCCAGGGGGAGGGTATGAATATCTTGACTCATAGGTTTGAGGAACAGCATGTTAACCACACCAGAGGCCTGATCATCACCTCATGGTCACCATAAGAACATGCATGCAGCATACACCACTACATCCTGCCTGCTGAACTTGAACCCCATTTCCCCACATTTGGGACTTAAAGGGCCACTTGTTTTTCTTAGCTTGCTTGGTGTCAGCAGATTTCCACTTAAATAATGCTGATAAGTGAATACAGCACTTATCAGCATTCTTGGATAATGAAATTGTGTCCCATTAAAAACCAGAACGGGGAATTAAAGTGCTTGTCTGATGCCTAACCATGTATCTTCATGCTAATAAACCATAAGCTCATTTGCATGGGAATGCTTTTTACAATGTTCTGGCAAACTCACCCAGCTTCATTAAAATATGGTTTTGTGTTTTTTTACAAAATAAAAAAAGAAATAAAATTGCGTTTCTCAAAAATGACAGACATGTCTTGTCTCTTGTAGTTGGAAACAACAATAATTGTGACAATGGAGGTGAACATGTTGATAAAGATGATACTATACAGAACGAGGTAGGTTCAGCAACTAAATGCCATATATTGTAAAACAGATTGTCATCTGTTGGAACCAAATAACAATGTATTCCCTTTCTACCAGACTGAGAAGGCAAAATGGGAACCAGTTAGTGTATTGAGCAAACTTGAAGGCGACAAAGATCGAAAGACAGGTAAATAGAATTATCTGGAGTGTCATGTTTCCTGTTGCTCTAGAGGAAGAATTGTTTATATTTAACTAATTCTTTGTTTCTCTTTGACAGACTTAATGGAAGAGCTTGGTCTGGGCGATTGTGATGATCTGGAAGGTAAGATGGCAAAAAATAATTGTTTTAATATTTATGAGTCTGTTTTGGTATGCTTTAACTTTAAAATTTAAAATAGTTTGCGTAAATGATCACAAGGCAGAGACAGGGCCACTGCTGGTACATTTTCTGATGTTTACAGAGTAGCACCAAATGTCGACATTGTGAAAGCTTCACTTTCAGATACTTAAGAGCCACTGTCTTATCTTAAACTTTTGATTAAAGTGGTGTATTCACATGCAGCACTGACTTTAATACCCTTTCTATTCTGTCATCACACTTTTTGTAGCTCGAAAAGCAGGTCAGTAAAGATAAACAAGCTAATTAGATATGGTGAACTTTATAAACTCATAGCTGTAGATCATCCTTAAAGTGTCCAATAACAGCCTATCCCAGATCTTTTCCGTTGTGCTGGTGAAGTGGTGTAGTGGTTACCCCATTGTCAACTGACCTCCTATCAGCAGCAACATCAATGTCATATTTTGGTCATTGACCTACATCTTTTTGCATTAATTGACACAGATGCATCAGACTGGGACTCGGCCAGCACTACCAGTAAGAGAACCCTGCCTGGCCGCAAAATGGCCTCTCCTGGGCTTGAGGAGTTCCCAGAATGCTCCAGTTCATCTGTTAAACAGCAGGATGAAGACATTGCCCCAGCAACACCTCTGACACCTCAGAGGAGTATCAGCACCGACAAAAGGCCCCCCAGCACACCCCCCCAACCTGTGCCCCATCCCCAACCTCGAGCAAGGAAGTTGGTGTTTCAGAAACCGGAGAGTGAAGATGGTAAGACATCTGAAACATAATAAATAAACATATGTATATACCATTATACAAAGGAAATGACTACAGCTTTCTTTGACTGTCTCATTCAGAATCAGATTGGGAACCAGACAATTTGACGTCGTCTGCCAAAACAGCCAAAATTGAGCAGCAAACCACAGCTGAGCGTCAAGCAGTGGTTAGACCGGGTAAGGCTCACTGTTTTCTTTTTTAGATTATTATTTTTTTTTTTTAAGAATCGAGGCAGACATTTTGTTTACATGCCCTGTTCTCTACATACAAACTCTCTGTGTCCTTAGGTTCCCCTGAGCTCTCACTGATGGGAGGAGACAGTAAAAGTAATGTGGAGTCTGACAAGCAGCAGCAAAAGGTGAGAAATACTCAGAAAATACCTCAATCCTAACTCACCTATAATTTCTCAGTCATTTTTGTCCCAGACACATTATCACTTCACATTAAAATACATCATCAAATCATATATATTGTTATAATATAGAGTATATTAAAAACAAGCTATCTAAATGTAATTAAATGACCTACTATGTGACATTGCTTGCCAAGGCTTTGGGGATCCTCAAAGCCTTTGTTTTCCTTTTGACCCCTCACAAGTGAAACATGTGAATATTCAGTATTTTTGGAGTTTTGGCTAGTTGTAAATAACTAGGTTGGCCCATCCCAAATAACATGGTTGTAATTTTCTTCTTTCAGTCTTTTCTATAATTAAAATGTAATTTGGGTGTATGACAATGCAATGTTGAAATGCCTCAATGTCTATTTTAATATTGTGTATCCAATCTTGGTTTTTGCATTTTTTGTCTTGTCTGTTTTGTGTTGTTCCTTGTCCACCCATGCCATCAAAGGAGAAAGATGATGCAGTAGATACATGTGAGTTAGATCTTAATAACCCATGCCCGTCTGGCCATGTGGCCTCTGATGGTGGAGAAAAGGAGAATGACTTTATAGAGGAGCAACTCAGTCCAGAAGAAAGAAGTGACCCGGGTAATGGCGGCACATGGGAGAGACGTTACGAGAAGCTCTGGGTAGAGGTGGAGAAAAAGGAGGTAAAATCCTCCTTCAAGAATGTTGCTGGTGAATTAAAAGAGAAATTCGGAGAACTGCTTAAATCAAGATTTCCTGCTGAATGCACCACAGAAGAAGAACAGGCCGTGGCTGAATCTGAAGAGTCAAGTGATGAAGAAGAAGAAGGGGAAGTCATCGTGCGCCCCATGGCCAGAGCGAGGAGTACTGTCCTTCTCACCATACCTGAGCAGAGGGAGTCTGGACTGGAAGATTCTGTGACTGAATCAACTGACAAGTCTGTATGTGAGGACAGGACGCAGGTCTGTGAACGTCCAGCTAGTGAGGGCAGCGTGTGTCGAGAGCCAGATCTGCTCTCTGATGAGGAGCGCAGGTCTCCTTCACCACAACTGACCACAGCACAGAGACAAAGCAGCATACATCATGTTACTGCAGCTTCTGCTAATGATCGTAGCGTACCATTGTCCGATGTCGACACGTTCTTAGAAAATATGGCCAAACTTGGGCCATTCCAGAAACCACATCTGAACCTTACCGGGAAGGACACCACCGATAATCTAGATGAAGCAGAGAAGATCAATGCAAGTTCAGAAGATGATCCTGAGGAATTCAACGAGTCTCGTCCCCCCTCACTAAGCAGACGTTCAGCATCTGTCCCAGGTGTTTCTGATGAAGAGCTGGAAGAGGACATGGAAAGGTTTAAACTTGAGGTAGGGATGCTGAAGGTTGTCTTCCTGGATTTGGAGAAAGGAAAGGCCCAGCTCCAGAAAGAGGTAGAGGAATGCCGCACCTTCCATAGTCGCCTAGATCGCCTCTCTTTCTCTTCATTTCACCCATGTGCCTAATTTCATTTATTTTTTTCTGTTAGGTGTTCATTCTCTATGTCTTCATTTGTATTTTCTTTAGGTTTGATTTCAAGTAGAAGAGTTGGTCTTGCATGTTTCTCCTTAAGTTTTTGTCTTTTTTAACTAACTAGAAAGACGTATAATGTAATTTGCACTGCAACTATACACCTTTGGTGCTGACTTCAGTTAATATAGTTAAAATATTGGTTGTTTAGTTCAGTTGGAGTACCATCAAGAACACCAAACAAAATTCAGTCTGGTGTGTTTTTAAGTACTGACTTGTCCTTCATCATGCATGGACTTTGCATGTATCTTTACATTAAATAGGTTCTGTTGTATAAACTCTCTCTTTCTAGATGATGTGGTTTAAAGATTGTTCAATTAATAGCCTTCTTTTCCCTAAAAAGAAGTGCTGTAATGTTATGATGATATGTTGTTTTTTTTTTCTTCTTTTAATGCATGCTGTGCTTAAGTTTGCGTTTATACATGCAGGTATTTGTTGGGAAGGATGATCCTCACGGGATGACTATGATTTATTTTTGGCCAGCCTTTGAGTGTTTGGAAGAAAGCATAGAAAGAAGCATTCATGTTCTGTATGTTTCTACAATTAAACTTAGAAAAATATAAATAAAGCTAAAAATGGAGACAATATAAACGTATATAAAAAGAGAGAATATGTACAATATGGCCGGATACTTAAATAAATGAGTGTACAAGGGTTGGGGTCCATCAGAATGCAAAATTGATAATATTTTCCACAGTTCAGGTGTCACAGCAAGCATTGTAGTGCATGGGATTGTGCATCCTTGTGATTAACTGAAAATACCATGTCAAATAGAGTAAGCACACTAAGGTGTTAGGTCTCCAAAGGGAGGGGTGACACTAAATTATGTATGACAAAGTGTACAAGTCCCTGCTCCAAAATGCATCTTAAAAGGCTGGCTCCAACCTGTTTCAGTCAGGAATAGTCTCTCAAGTCCAGTTACCAAATATTTACTCCTGTCTTTTCAGGCTGGCAAAGAGACGACAAAGACGGCAATGGAGGTGCAAAAATCCAGTACTTCCTGGGATGCTGGTGGAAAGTTATTGGAAGAAGTGGGTACTGAGAAACCTGAGACCAGGTTAGGATGCCTGTCAAGTCAGGCTGGAGCAATTCACCAGGAAGAGCAGCCTGTGGCCACTAAGAGGTATGCCTTATTTTGTTTTTGTTCATTGTTAAGGTCCTGGCAGTTATCATTAGCAAATGTTAACGATTGTTACTATTTCAGAACACATCCACAAGCCTCCTCTGAATTCAGCAGTCAGATATTATTTACAAGGAAACTTAATATTTTTGCTTTTGTATGTGTGCCGGTTGTCTTCTCAATCATTTTATAATGCTCTTTTAATAAATACTCTTTAGCTAAAGGTATTTTTCAGATTTTATCAGAAAGACCCCAGTCTAAATTTACTTTTAAGGGGTCTTTCTTCAGAAACACCTCCAAGAGCCCCAAAGTGTAGATGTCACAGCTCATTGACTATCAGGTTTATTGCTCTCCATAGCACCAACGGGGCACCAGTACAATTGCTTCTGCCAATCCAGCAGACCTACAGTAGCAACAAACAGGAGGGGCAAGCTGTAGAGGAGACCTTACAGCTTGAGCTGGTCAGAGGGGCCCAGCGCAGGAGAGCCCCTCAGACCAACATCCATGCTAATGGAGATCCTCTCTCAGTGTTTGACGATAGCACTTTAAGTGAAGTGTCGGACGATGAAGGAAGGTATATATGCAGTATGCCACTTTTTTCACCTCTCTGTCACTAACCCGTAAGGTGTGTTTAGACTGAATGCAAGTGATTTGTACAGGCAGCAGTATTGTGTACAAAGTCACAGATTTACTTTGGGAAGAGCAAATGAAGGAAAAATGAATCAAATTGAGAAAAAATCATGCTTATCTGAAACGTCTAGTACTTCACTTAATGAAAACACAGAGGAAAGAGAAAAGGGAGTAAAACAGGAAGAACAAAAGATAAATTACTGAAGTTGTTGGTAAGTTCTAAAATCCTGTTTGTGCATTGGTGGTTTGTGAAAAATAAACAGAGACTTCTACAACAGTCCAGTGGTCAAATTTGCATGAATAAACCAAAGAGATTCACTTTGCATTCAGTCTTAACAAACCTACAAAATTGGTGGTGGGTGATAATTGGGATGTTTTTTCGTTCTTTTACTTATTTTTCTCTAAAAATAGTTGCATGACTAACCACTGATTTTCCAAACTGGAATAGTATACTGCATTATACCATTACGCTTCCAACAACTCTTCAATGCAGCTCTCATAGCTTGAGAATGCATTCATTTCTGTAACCCCTGTTTTTCTTCTTTGTTGGACTCAGGTTTTCAACCAGCGGACAACAGAAAAACGAGGTAAAACACAACTTTAGTTTGTAACTAAAGTTTGAGTACACAAATACAGAATGAGAAATTGAATATTTTAAAACCTCATTTAGAATTGTTTCTATATTCAGAACCCTGAAGAGATGGAGATGGCAGAAGACTTTGATGAACTCACTCAGTCATCGGATACAGATGACATCGACTCCCCCACTTCAGGCTATCGTCATGCATCCCTCCTCATTCAGAAGCTGGACTCAGCCACGTTGGGTACTGATTCAGATGGTTCAAATGTTAATTTATGTAATAATAAGTATGGGATTATTTATGCTTTTTAGGACTTTGTAACCTAATCAGTTTGTTAATTTAATTTGCTAAATATTTGTACACAATCTATCCTTGAAAGCAAGATCTGGTATATACTCTTCAAGTGGTGAGAGTCACTTACAGACTCTTAAGACTCGTACTATGCCATATTATACCTCACAGACTCAAGAAGCATGGTGAAGCTGCAGAACATTTTCCACGAATATGAGCGCTCCATTCAGAAGGCAAGGAGTCGCCATGGTTACCTGTCAGACAAGGTGAGCCAGCTGGAAATGGAGAGGGCAGAGTTGAAGAGCTCTCTGGAGGAAGTTAAAGATGTTAAGTCTTGCTTGGAGCGCAATCAGCTGGAATTGCAGACTGAAGTCACAAACCTCAAGTGAGTGTTTCTCCTTTTTCTAGAAAGAGTACTCTGTAGCAATTTCTTAACACGGTCTTGGTCTCTCTTCTTAAATTTGTGTTACTGCTTGTTTTATAAATCTTTTTGGCTGGCCTGCAAGTAGGCCCAACAAATGCAATAGTCCATGAGTTACTGCTTGAGTGATGAAATGAGTTGTTTATTTTGATTTATGACTTGAAATTTCTGTCTGAAACTTGGTACAGATTTCAGCTGAAACAGGAGCAGGAGAATCGCCGCAACGCCACCATGATGTACAACACCACCAGAGATAAGTTGAGGAGGACGGAGGAGCAGCAACAGTTAGAAGTTCAGGAGAGACAGAAGGTGGAGCTCACCCTCAGGAATCTGGAGCTGGAGATGCGAACACTGGTCAACAACATGAAACAGGTACTCCCTCTTAAACCACATTTGTGTTTCTATCCAAAGTGTACAATGATTTTGTTAATGCTGTTTTCATTGTATTGATATTGGTTAATGTTCTATTAATAACTATCAATATGACTGTTTCAGTATTAAGATAACTTAGCTTTATTGTTTGGATCATTTCACACACAGTATGTATTTCCTGTGGTACGGATACTCATTATGCAGCATTTATGTGGAATTCATGGTGATTTGATGAGATGCCTGCAATAGCTGGCTCGTCCAGTTGTTGTTTGGTGTACATATGATTGTTACATTAGTGGGTTATATGTCAACCGCGCAGCTTGAAGAGGACCACAGTGAGACCCAGAGGCTGCTGGTTCAGGAGCGCAGTGCCCGGACACTGCAGGAGAATCTGCTCAGCAGCCACCTCCGTAAGCAGCAAGAGATCGAGGACGAGAACAAAAGAAACATAAGCAAAAGCAACGAGGTAATCCTCACAGTGATGTCCATCATTTTAGAATGTCTTAGTTTGGTTGATGGTTTAGAATCAACATGTTTTTTTCCCCCTGATATTCATAGGCGTTGTCTCAGCTCACTGAGGCCAGTGACAGGGAGAGGGAGTTGCTTCAGCAGACTGCTACCTTACAGGAGCAGCTGACCATCCTGAGAACAGATTTCGAGCGTTTGCAGGCCAACGGCAGTCTTAAAGAGAGTCACATTTTGGAGGAGAATGACGCCCTCAAGGAACAACTAGAAGACGCTCGGCGAGATCTCAAACTCAACAGTGAAGCCCTGACCCAAACTGTGTTCAACTGCAACAACCAGGTGACCACCCTGAAGTCCGAGTTGGCTATAACAACAACCCGCCTGGAAAATGAGCGTCAGGCTCGTGAAACACTGGAGACGGAGGTCGAGTCCACTCGTACCCGCCTGGCTGGAGCCGTGAAGGAGGCAGAGCTTTGTCTGGCGGCTCACACAGATACAGAGAGAGTTCTGCTCCGGGAGAAAGAGGAACACCAGCGTCTCAAAGACAAACTCACAGGTTAGTACTAGTAGGAATGAATGGACACTTGCTCACCCATGACCAAACTTTCCATGATTAAAAACCTGAACGTTGTTGTGCACCCTATGTGTATATGTGTTTTTTCTGTGTTTAAAACCAAACGATTGTGGATGTAACTACACTGAATCGCTGTCACTCTTCACTGACACACAGAAGTCTCTTTTCTGGACCAATTCTGCCCCCTGCTGTGGTCCAGACTGGCTGCAGGGGCTAGTATTTAATTATACAAGCAAACCTTTGTTTTGCATAACTTTTTTTGCTTAACTTTGAACTTATTTGTAACTCCTAATGTATTTACTTGTACAGGTGAAGTAGCCAGTCACCGTGAGGCAGTCAGCAGCCTGTCCCAGAAGCTGGCCAAGGCAGAGTCTCGTGCCAACAGCATGGAGAATGAAGTTCATCGGGTCACACTGCAGCTGACGGAGAAAGGCCTACTGCTGGAGGCCCTACAGCGAGAGAAGGACCAGGCAAGTGTACGCGTCAAGGAGCTAGAAACGACGTTGCATGCAGAGAGGGAGCTGGTCAGCCGTGCCGGGGCAAGGCAAGAGGCCACGCAGGAGCGGCTAGCCCAAGCTCAGAGTGAGGGCATGTTACTACGGCAACAGCTAGAGGAGGCCCAAAACAAAGGGGTTGCAAAGGAGCGTGCTGTGACAGATGCCCAAGAGCGTTTCAGTGACATCTTGTCCAAGCTGCGCTCTGACTGTGAAGAGAGAGTACAACTGATGGAGGAGAGAAATAAGGAGCTCGCCAGTAAGGCTGCTGATCTGAGAGATCAGATCTACAAGTTGGAGGAAGAGAAGAGCGAAAGAGAGGTAAGATTAGGACTGTGTAGGGTAAGAGGATTATCTGACCTCGTCCTCCAGACCCACTTTTAGCCTTTCTTCCACATGCCAGTTAAGAATCTCCTTTTATATCTAACCAAACCCTGCTTTCTCTGGATTCTGTCTGAGCACAGGCTAGTCTCAGGCAGTTGCAGCAGGAGCTAGCTGACTCACTCAAGAAGCTGTCGATGAGCGAAGCTTCTCTGGAGGTCAACACACGCTATCGCAATGACCTGGAGGAGGAAAAGGCTCGACTCCTCAAAGACATGGACAGACTCAAGGGAAAGGTAATGGCAGGGAACAGTGCCACTTTGTGGCAGCATATTCTCATCACATCTCTTATACCAGCTGGGTTAGTGAATATGAAGCAAACACTTAAAGCCGAAACTGTAATGAGATACTTACTTAATTCTTTAGGTGATAGATCAGAACTGACATTTAAGTCCACTGTTTTGACATTGAGGTGGATGCTTTGTCTCTGTCATGTAGCTGGAGGAAAGCGAAGACCAGTATGTGCAGGCTGAGAAAAACATTAACAGGCTAAAGAACATGCTTGATGAAAGGGAAAAGGAACTCACCACTGCTGCTCAGAAACTCCAGGAGGCGCTGTCCACCTCAGGAGCTACTGATACCACCATCAAACAGCTGGAGGAAGCGGTGCAACGGTATGTACCAACAAATGCTGTATACATAAACACACACACACACATTTTCAGCCATGAGTGTAGATATGTTTCAGTATATAGTATATGAATGTGTGTGATGCCGTTTATCAATGTAATGTCACATTAGGCTGGAGATAGAGAATGCCAGGCTGGAAGCTACTGCAAAGCAACAATCCAACAAAATTGATGCACTTCAGAAAGGAGCTCAGGAAGCTGCCATGGTGAGTGCTGCAGACCTAATCCAATCACCTGCGCACGCATTTTACACAGGACCTCGATGGCGCCGCAGCTACTTCTTTGTGACTAAAAAGGGAAAATACGATATCTCAGTATTGTGATACTTCTCTTGTGAAATCAGATGGCTGACTTTACATTATGACGTCATTATTATATTTTAAGATATCCGATCTTCTTCCAGCTATCTGACTGCTCACCTGGAGGAGGGGTTGGTATTGTGGATGTAGGCTTAGTTTCTCTGTGTGGGTTTACCTCTGATTTCTCAAAAAGAATATGAATCGACAAAGATCATAAGATGACACTTCTGTCATGGTTTGTGGGCTTTTTGCACAAGCTGCTAGATCAGGAATAATTAGTGTTGGTTTGGGTTTTTCTTGGTGACCTCAAAATGCGTTCCCTCCCTTAAGCCTGATCTTGGTATGTGGGGTCTTTAACTGCTTTTTGTGTCGAGCTGCATGATGCATGTTACTTCCTTTAGTCTAAAGTTTCCTCTCAACTGTCTTAAATGATAAAGCAAAAACCTAAAACAGCAATAACCCAAACAAAGACATCTTTATTTTTACAATGCTTTTCTTATTTCTGTAGGTCAGAGGTCATTTGGAGGACTTGGTTACAAACCTCCAAAGCAGTAAGATTACTTTGGAAGACCAACTCAGTAGAGAGGTTGGTGGCATATTTTGTTTCCTGACTAAGAAAACTTTCACCCCTAGATTCCCATTTCTTACTCTCATCTTGTTTTCTAGTCTTTGTGTATGTAATTCACCTGACATCAGTCGGATTGGGCCGTTCCTAGACTTTTTGAGTAGCCAGCCAGAAAAGGCAATTGGAAGACCATGTAATTATGAATTCACACATAAAGTAGAGAGGTAGTCCTATTTGGAAAAAAAGGAAGTTATGAATTATTGTGAATGTTTCTTGAAGCAGAGCAGTGTAAAACACGGGGCCCAAAATTACCTTTCTGGATCGTCTGCCAATGGCAGGTAAACTGAAAAAATATACTTTTTTACTGGCCATAAAACTGCATCATGCATTATTTGACAAAAAATAATTACCTTTTTTAGCCAGTATCTTGGAGACTTCCTGCGCCGTTTAGATGTAATTTCTTGCAAAAACACAGACTGCTGTGACTTTTCTCTTTGTCATAATGTTTGCTTTTTGGTAGCTTAACACTGCGAATATGTTGCACACCTCTAACATGTTATGCTGATGTTTTTAATGTCAGCAACAGACATTGTGTAGAAAGTACCAAATAGTGGCAAGCTGCTTCGATTTAATTCACTGACGTAACGATACGGAGGACAGTGAGGGCTCTATGTTGTGACAGCCACCTGGCTGGTGACCCCGATTTTTATTTTTTCTGCCAAACCTAAAATGTACCTGTATTTGGTGGTTGGTGGGTGTTAATTTTGGAACAATATCAATAAGAAGGCCAAAACTAAACTATTTTCTTTGTAGAAAATAAGAACCAAGTACGCATTTTAGCCATGAAGACAATATCAGAATATTTTATATAAACTAATCTCACAAATAAGATAAACCGTTGGCTGTGTTATTTGATCATTATGACAAGCTGACAGGAGCTTCTCTTTATAAATATTCACTTCTTTGCATATAATAATTTAATGTCTTGGCACCTCATCTCTCTTTCTTAGGTCCAGAAGCAAAGCATGCTGTCTCACACAGCCCAGGACTCTCAGGCCTTGTGGGAGGAGGAGCTGAAGAGCCGCTCTAAATTAGGACTGCGCCTGGCAGAGCTTGAAAAGGAAAAGGGAGAATTGAGCACTCAGGTGACCATAGTGATGCATTCATGTGCAGGCTAATGTCATATATGATGAATTAAGTAGTTATCCCTCCTGATGATATACCGTGGTTTGGGTCTCAAGAGTTATCGGCCTGTTGCCTGTGTTCCAGATGGATATAGAAAAGAAGAAAGCCAAGAAAATAGTGGAGCAGAAGAAGGCTGTAGACACCCGGCTGGATCAAGAGATTAAGAGAAACACAGAGCTTCAAAAAGAAATGTACAGGTGACTCCTAACTTCCTCCTCGCGCCCTCTCTCCTATGGCAGTACTTCCTTAGACACAACTAGGATCCAGTAGAGCGCAGTCTTTCCTGGCTTATGTGGCTGTGGTGCACCACTGTGTGTATCTGGTGTAAGGGTGTATTTATTTATTTATTTATTTATTTTTTATTTTTTATTTTTTACTGAACTCCTATTAATTATGAATTATATAATAATATTAAAGTCCTTGTGTGTGTCTAGTGTTTTTGTGTTTAATTGTATTGTATTCTGTTGACGATTAACATCTATTTTGAGTTTGTCTTTAACAAGAGGTTGTTTGTGTGTTGTGTTGATGTGTTTTGAATCTTGTCATATTCACAAGTACACAGTGTTTACTTCTCCTTTTTGTGTGTATGTGTTTAAGGTTGCGTAGTTTATTAAAGACTGCAAAGAAGAAATTGCGGGATCAGGACGCAGGTGGAGCTGAATTTTCCTCTCCTATGAGCAGTCTGCGGATGGACGTAGGCAGACACAGCCAGGCCGAGGGTGCCTTTGGACGAATGAAAGATAAGGTTTGTCTGATACAGATGTAGTTACATAGCTCAGCTGTTAGAACTTTGCCTCAAACATTTCCTCCGCCTTTCGTACGCTACCAGGTGGACGATCTGCAGGTGCAGCTGGAGAAGGAAGCGTCCCGTCGCAGCCAGCTAGAGAAGGTGAACGGGGATCTTAAGGATCAGCTGGCCTCCCTGAAGAGCTTGAGCCGCAATAATGACCACCTGGAGAGGAGTAAGAGGCAGCTTGAGGAGGAGGTACTGGACCTGAGACGTCGAATGGAGGCCGCTCAGGTGGAGCAGAGCCAGGTGGAGCAGTACCGCCGTGACGCAGAGGATAGGGCCCGCCAGGAGATACAACAGAAACTGGAGCAGGTCAACATCTTCCTGCAGGTAAAAACCACCTGAACGTGCATGAACTGGGCAAATCGGTGGTAGCTATGCACATGTCTATTAAAACATCAAGCCTAATTACCTATGATTGCATCTGTTTGTGTCCCAGTCCCAGGCAGCATCCCAAGAAGCACTGGATCAGATTAAAGCCGCCAATGAGGCCAACCTGCGCTCCCAGCTGGAGCAGAAGATCCGGGAGATGGAGGAGGAACTGGGCCGGGCCCGCAGCACCCAGCAGGACAGCCTCAGCCAAAGAGAATCCACACGCACAGAGCTGGAGCGATACCGCCAACTCTACACGGAGGAGCTGCGCCTCCGCAAATCCCTGGCTGCCAAACTAGAGAGGTGACACAGTTTAGTGCCGGGTCTTCTAGAGGGGATACTCGGATCCATCTCTTGATGCCGGGTTTCTTTGGTGTAGTCAGACGCAGACTGTGCTGATGGTGACAAACCTGTGTTGTATCAGGGATTCACCTCTTTGCTGTGTTTTCTCCACAGGGCCAACAGTCGGCTCTCAGAAGCCAATTCCAAGTTGCTCAACGAGCGCAGCAGGTCTCTGATCACCAACAGCATCCCAAACGGTAGCCTCGCAGGGCCCTCGCTGGACGTGGGCTCTTTGGCTTCACCAGCACACTACGGGGCCACACTGGGGCCCCTCAACAGGAGCCTAGGCCTGGGACTCTCCCTCCTCAGCCCCGTGACTGAGGGACAGAGCAGCAGGGTCGAGGACTACCTAGCCAAGGTCAGTCATTCATTGTAACGCTCATTCTCTCATCGAGATCACAGACAAACTTTCTTTAAGTTTCTTTACTTTGGGCCATTTTCATTTCCACTGCGTCATGGTTTGTCAGCATTGTTATTGTTTAACTGCCGGTGTTTTGTTCAAAGATGTTGCTTTATACACAGGTTAGTGTGTTACGTTGACATAACTGCATTTTATGTGGGATATTTCAGATTGTGAAAAAAAACATCAAAGAAAGACAGTCATAAATATTTATCTAATGGCTTTCTAAATTCTCCTTCCACAAGAACACCTTCAAAACTGAAGGATTGGAGTATTTCTTCACCCAGTTTTTTCTTTCTTTCTTTTCTTCCTCCTGCACATTGTTTCTCTGCCTTTGCTTCTTCTTCTGTCTCTGGTCTTTATGGTAGTGGGACTTTACTTCTAACCTGTCTTCTATTTCTCACTCTTTTAGCTTCTAGCTCAAAAGTCTGTCTCTCATCTCTCTTCTCTTCAGCCAGACTCGTAACCAGGTGTGTAGATGTGTTTAGCTCAGTGTCTGATTGGCTGCTGTTCACCCTGCTGATGGGCCTCACTGTTAGACTCTGTTCACATGCAAACCGTGGTGTTCAGGGTTCGCACAGTGAAAACGTTTTTTACACTGCAGAGACAATGTATATATCTGCTGAGCTTTCTGCATTGAATACTGCATTCAGAGGAATATATTACTTTTTCAAAGTACAAAACGAAAAAAAAAAAAGTTATCTTCTCGAATTGGAAAGGAAAGTGAAGCTACTACTGTGTTTTCTATTACAGTGGAGCACTTCATTGTAGAGCTTTTTCCTGGTTCATCGTTTTCACACCTTTAGGATTATAACTGAAATAACAAATAGTCAAAACTGACAAAACAAATGTTGTCAGAACTTTAAGGTTTAATGGCAAAAACTGAATTGCAAAATATGTAAACGAAAAGTCAAGAATAAGAGAATCTGACTGGTGAAATGTGCAGGAACCCTGGGTTTGTATTGTGTAGTTAGATATCCAACTGACTGTACCAGCTGGATGCTCAAACTTTCCTCCTTGATTCTCTGCTTTGAGTTGATTTTCTTCATGCTCTGAAGTTGACTGGTAAAGTACTGATGATGTGGCTCTTTTTAATTTCTATTTTGATCATTTGTCTTTCCTAAAGCTAAACAGTTATTAGTAACACGCCACCAGTTCTAATAAATATATGATACCTACAACAGTGTCATTGTGAAAGAGGAAAAAAAGCTCCATTTAACTACATTATAGACAGTTCTTTCTTTTCATTTTAGGACTTAAAACAGAGGAATTAGGGTTAGGAATTATTCCAAGTTTTCATTTATTTACACTAATAGACAATAAACAATGTGATGCTGTATAGTAAGATAATAAGTAGCTGTACCATCCAGAAATGTCCATGTCTCTGTATTTGTGTAATATACTACAAATACATATGAATGTAATGAATGTGTGTGTACAGGCACATCTAACTGTGCCTGTATAGCTCAAAACACACAATTCAGGAATAATTACAGTTTCTGAGAAATACCATTTTCCTTATTATGTTGCATGCAGACCTTGATGGTTTCAACATATTGACTCAGCTTCTTGTTACTGGATATAAGAGACAACATCAAATAGCCTGCAGAAACTCTACATTAAAGCAGAGCTTGCATGGTTGGCATGTCCTGCTGTGTTTCACATAATAGTCCGGATTTGATTGCAGTGTGTTTTTCCACTATTCAAGCATTTGTGATTAATATGTGTGGCCGTTGCCATAGTATTGTGTTTGGTGGTGAAATATCATCCCTGTGTCTTTTTGTTTTTTTAAATGTATAAATATTTATCATTAAGGCCATGTTTCTTCAGTTTATTTTAGCGTTACCAAAACTCGCAGAACTCAACTCTTACTACAACTTTCCCCTTTTCTCTCTCCAGATGCAGAGTGAGTTGGATAGAAACATATCAAAGGAATTGAACTATGGTAAGTGCACTGAGACTGGAAACATGGCACAAGTCTTAGCTGTCTTGAAAGGTCTTTAATTCGATGGTAGCGGTATCTGACTCGTAGCTGCTGCTCAGTGACTGTGTCGTCTCTTCGGCCCTCAGGCGCAGCAGAGCTGGACGTCGCTTCAGCCCGTATGTCACCAGTGGGCTCTGCCTCGAGGGTGGAGCTGGACCCCGTCAGCAGGGCCACGCAGCAGTACCTGGAGGTACTAAAGAAGAACAATATGATCTGAACACACACCACAGCTGCTTGTAGTCAAACAGATTTCATCCATTAAACAAACTTGCACCAACACTAAGGCCAAAGCCACTGCCTAGTCATGTAACACCAAGAACATAATGCACATTGCACTTAACCACTCAGGAGCAAAGGGCATGAGTCATATATATGTTGGGTACACTTAGAGAGAACCTCGAAAGTATTTGTTCCTCCTTACCAATTCTGTTCCATTTGTAATTGTTTTGTTTTTATTAGCACAAAATATATATATATATATATATATATACAGAATTGTGGTTTGGATTTTTATTTGTGAATATTGGTGTTGTTACATTTTGAATTTCTAAGTATTTGATGTACAGTATGCATCATCATTAATGTTGCCAAGATATTACATTTGGTACGTGCCATCAAATGGTGCAATATCTGTCTTGGTCTTATTTTGTTAGACTCATTAGAGTATTGTGGTTATTGTGGCTTTTATTTATTCTTTTTTTTATGAACATGATATACTTGAATAAGACGAGCCAGAATCCTCTCTGGTTAATGAAACAGGGTGACATTGACACATTTGTACAACTGTCATTACAGCTTTTGGTTGGCTTGTTTTTAGTGCATCAAAAGTGAAACACACTTGTTTTGGTGTTTTTATTTTTTTCATTATTCATGAATACTGTAACAGAATACATATAGGAAAGCATTTATGGCGCTTGTACATTACAGAAGATTCTAAAGTTGTAAATAAAACCGTAAAAATACCCTCCACTTGAGTTAAGTCTTGATGTGTGGACACAAAAAAATTACCATTTAGCAGCTTTTTTCGTCAAGTTTGTGTGTAAATTCTAAGTTCTCAGTCACTTCTTGCTAGTTTAGAATAAATAAATTGTGACGACTTCAGTAATGTCTGCATCACTGTTCAGCCAAAAGCAATGTAAACAGGAATTCTCTAGCATCTCAAGCTGTAACATAACAACTAAAATAAGTTCTAGGAGGCCAAATGATATATTAAACCTAACTGGCAGTCATTTGTGATTGTAGATATGACTTTGTTGTATTTATGCATACATGAATAAACATCCACCTAGGTTAACTAGGTTCTGTCCTAAACAACATAACACACTCAAAAAAAAAACATTGAGTGAAAAAAGAAGAAAACTAATTAAATCCAACAAGGAGGTGAACTTGATAAAGCAAAAATATTTCAAATAAAATATAAATAGCATTCATAGAATTGAAGTATGATAAATACTAAAGGTTAATATAACTTCATTCCACAGTGATTGTTGCCTTCCTCAAAGCCACATAAAAACACGACTTACGTTGTAACATGCAGACTTAATTATTACTTTTTATATTATACTATTATACTTTTTTTTTTTTTCTTTTCCTCCTTTAAATCTGATTGAATAGTTATAAACAGGTGATGGACAGTATAAGCAGCTCTGTACAGTTTTTTCCTATTAAATTCAGTTGAGCTGTAGACAGATTGAGGAGTATATATTTAATACTGACCTGATGCTTGAATCAGCCCTCCTTCACTGTGTGCAACACTAGCTTTAGATTCCACATATCTTATATTCAAGATAAAAATGCAGCTTTCCATCAATATTTTATGCACAGCCATTTTTAACCCGTCCCTCATTAGCTATGCTTTGATGTACTTTACCCCCTCCTCTTGAATTCCCAAACACATAAAACTTGATGGTACGCGCTGGTTTAGAAACCATTCCCCTCACTTATTAAAATGAGACAATGTGTTTATGATTGCCCCCCTCCGCTGTGTCTCTCTTCCCTTTGATCCGTCCTCTCTGCGTCAGCCTCAAATGTTAGATATTCAAATCTGGTTACATTTATTTTTGTTTCCTTTACAGGAGATGGGCACATCTGACAGACTGACTATTAGGTGTTATTATTTCCCCTTTTTTCAATAGACAGCACTTCATACACTACACGTAAACCTTGTTTTGACTGAGGAGGTTACAACCATTGTCATAAAGCTTTGGAGGCAGGCGAGAATACAAATAGACAGATTCTGAATAAAAAAAGTGTTGAAAGGGTTGTTTTTGAAAAGCAACTGAGGTTTAAAACAAGCCGCTCCCCACTAGGTCATCCTCCATCTGTGATGCCCAGTCTTGTTTTCTCCGACTGCCAGTCCAACAACTGTTAAGAAAAAACAAAGTGTCGGTTTTCAACCCTACGCCTCCGCCGCGTGATGAGGTTGTCAACTGGAACGGGCCATTTTATTAATAAATCTCACTAAAATGATACAAATGTGCAAATCAGTCTCTCAAACTTTGACCGTCGCCCAAAATGAAATCATGACATGAAATGACATAAAACATTTTTGAAGCCATATCAATAAGAATGCTCTCAGAAAATGTTTACCAGACCCAAACTTACTCCTTTAACTAACTTCATACATCTATGTAAACTTTATGTATCAGAATTGTCTTTCCCAGCACAGTCTAAAAGTCTAAATCAGGGGTCTCAATTTATGCACCAATGAGACAGTTTCATAATCTTATCAGTACAGTCAGTACAGACCTGTAAATTTCCTAGAAAGACTGCAAAATCACAGGATAGAAATTGTCTCTCTTTCTTTTTCTTTTTTCTTTTTACATTTAATCATTAGAAAATTGCTCCTACCTGGTCAAGTTGTCAACACTTGAGGTTTGACCACTGATTTTCCACAGCGCTCTTGACACTAACTTATCTTTGTTGAACTTAAGGACAGAAGTTTTCCAGAGAGGTGGATAGTTTGTTATATTCTGGAGTTAAACGTGACTGTCTTATCTACACCGACAAATTCAAGTAGCAAGTACTACCAACAGGATTAGTAACCATGCAGATCAGTAGGGATGGTATGTAGATTAGATGGACAGACGAGTTGCTCAGCCTCAGAGAGGTTATAGTTTACATTTAAAGCTGAAGAAAAAGGGCTTCATAAACACACACCTAAAAAGAACACATTTATTTTGGAGTGTAAAATTATTTCTTGTAATTAGTTTTCACCAGTTGTAACTACATTTTCCTACATTCTCCATTACTCCTTCTTTGTACATGTACTTTTTTGTGATTCATATTATTTTACTATAAAAACAAACACAAAGGTTTAAGAGATGCAACTAATGATTATTATACATTATTGATTTGTCTGCAGTTATTTTCTGCATTTATCAAATAATTGTCTATCAAGAGTCAGAAGAAATGCCCGATGCAATTTCACAAAGTCCAGTGTGATGTCTTGAAATTTCTTGTTTTGTCCAAACAAAACCACAAAGATATTCAATTTAAAATAAAGAAAAGCAGCACATCCTCACAATTGAGAAGATGGAACAAGAAAATGTTTGGCATTTTTACTTGAGAAATGACTTAAATGATTAATCTATCAACAAAATAGCTGCCAATTGCTTGTCGTCCGGTCGATTCATAGATAGAAAATTACAAAACGGACCTTTCTCAGTTTCCTGCATCTAATAAAACCAAAAGCCGGTTTATTGTTTTTGTTTTTACCACCATAAGATGTAAAGTGATGGTACTGTCACCTAGCCGGCGTAACTTTCATCAAAATTATTTCTTTTAAGTGGAGATTTCAAATCAAAGGCAAATATATACGTCCACCTGAACCAGACGTATTACCGTGTGGCTGTAACATGTTGGTTCTGCATTCCCTCTGACAATCAGCTGTGGGTGAGGGCTAGAACAAATTGAGGGGGACAAGTGGAACAAGCCTGAGTGTTTATTTGTTGGTGTATGCTCGCCATGCTCTAAATTAGACGTCACCGCTGTTTCTTGTCACCAGCCGAATCCAAATGTGTTGCGGGCAAAAGAGATACTTAAATTCGATTTACTGGCTCTAATGTGATTTAAAATGAGCTTCTCTTGGCTCGCCCGGACAGATTGACAGCGTTGTCTTTATCGCCGCTTTGTTTTATTTTTGGCTGTTTACTCTGCCTCTCAGCTGTCATCTCAAACGATGGCTTTAAAGGAAGCCTGCTTCGATCTCCCAAGATCTGGAGAGAATAAGCATCCTTTTATGTTCTAAGTGCTTCATATGACAAATATGAAAAGGGATTCAAGAGAGAGCTGACAAGTTTTTTGTCGCCCCGTTCCTCAGCTGCAAAGAGCTGTGCAAGGAGAAGTCAAACCTGCAATCTTAGAACATGAGAACCCGTAGAAAACCGAGCAAAGAGGTAGACCCCTCTCGTTCAGGGTCTTGCTGGGTCATATTTATTAAATGCAACTTAATGTACAAACAAAAGACATTTTTGTCTGAGTAAAGCTGAGTCTTGAATGCACTGTAGCTTGTACATGCGGCAGTGCAGCGAGTTCCTGTGCTTGTTCATACAAGACAAATACTATTTAGTTGTGCAGCAATGTGATCAAAAACAACAACACTCGAGTATTAATAAGTCCCACAATGGCTTCAATTTTATTCACCTTGGATATCCACAGAAATTTAACAAGCAGAACAAATGACCTTGACAAATTTCTTTTAATATTTCAAAAGGTCCTTGAATCTATTTTCCCAAAAATCAACCAGGAGATAAATAATGCATCTGTTCCTTCCTGTGCACAGAATAGGAACAGTATGACATTTCTGGGGAATAAAACTAAAAACTAAAATTTCCTTTCTTGCAGAGTTAGATAAGAGTTTTGACACAAGTCTCGTATCTGTGCGTTAAGAAGGTAGCTGGAGCCAAGAGGCAGTGAGCTAGCATGAACTACTTTTGGACCGAGCCAGCGTCGTTGTTTTTCAGCCTAAGCTAAGGGAAGCTAATTGTCTCTTGGCTGTAGAGCTGTAACTAATGACAGTGGTAGTCTGACTAGTTGTTTGCCGTGTATTTCACGCAGTGTTCTCCCCCCTTTCCATTATCTGCGTGTAACCAATTTCAAATTCTCCTTCGCTACGTGAAACATCTACCTTCGAGCTAGCAACCTACACGCTGAAAATAGCAAGTTAGCCTAACCTTCCCAAGGTCCCTAACGGTACGAATGTAATCAAGCTAGCAGCTGTTTTCCTTTGTGGGGGTTTAGCTATTCTTAATATGAGGTTATGTCTTCCCACCGGCAAATATATGCAAGAATATGAGAGCGCATCGACCATCTCATCAAAACTCAAAAAAGCAAAAAAGTGTTTTTTCCAAAATATCAAACTATTCCTTTGAGTATGGGTCTGGGAAGCAATTAGCTTAGCTTAGCATAAAGGCTGAAAGTGTGGGAAAATTGCTAGTCTGACTTTGTTCAAAGTTCAAACATTTGCCTACCAGCACCTCTAAAGCTCTCTACCAGACCGTTTTCACAGCAGCCATTTTGACATGAAATAGTTGGGCAAACAGGTGTGTGTACCAATTATACTAATTAAGGTTCTGTTCCATTTAGTGTAGCAAAACCTTTCAGAGCCAACATGCACAATAGCAGCTCCCTGACTCTGTTTGATCTGAATGGGACAGAACTGCTGTTAACACACTGTATCTCATATGTTTAATTCATTCACACGTATAAATGTGTAAAAATTATTATTTTACATTGAGTAACACCACACAGTTCCTGGTGAGGTTGCCAGGCAATGAGACAGTGCTGGGCAGATGTTTGTCAACAAATATTTACAGCAATATTTAGTCCCACTGAAAACACTTGACAAACACAATTTGTGATATTAAAGATATTGATAGTTGGCTTTCTTCCAGGCTTTATGCAAAGCTTAGCTAATCGCCTCCTGGCTCCAGCTCCTTCCTTAAATGACAGCCATAAGTACCTCTAATTCTTGGATAGAAAAAAACAATATGTGAATTTCTCAAAATATTGAACTATTAATTTGAAAGTGCTTTAGCTCATGAAGGCCTTTTACTGAAGAAGAATGTGAAGGACTAAATCCTTCGCTCTTTGGTAAGTGATCTGTGGGTCACAACAAGGTCAATACGATCATGTTTAGTCACAAGAATTGAGATGTCATTGTAGCACTAATGAATCCCACATTGCTTTTAATGTCTGGTTTAGTCTCTTTACATGTCTCATATATTCAGTCCAGAGGCCTGGCGGTCCAGTTGCCTCCTAGCTGCGATGACAGATGTCACAGCACTCCAGACAAAACTCGAGACATTCGGTCGGCTCACAGCAAGACTCGAATAGCACAGAGTGGCAGTGGGCGTTGCAGTTGAGCTCCTCCACGGGCACCTCCTGGATGGCCGAACAGCAGCGCGCGCAGGCGTGGCAGCAGGAGGAGCAGAGTGTGTGGAGGCAGGAGGAACAGGCCTCCAACAGACCCAGGAGCAGCACCGACCCCTGGCACGACAGGCACGCCAGCAACAGCTGTAAACAGGAGTCTGTGGGTATCCCATCGAGGAAAAAATGAAATGATTTAGCAACAAATCTCATATCTGAGGTCACAAAAGAGCTGTTGTATGTTCTAAAAGCCTGTCAGACGCCGTCGGAAACGGGGATTAACGATTCTATTAACCCCTAAATTAATCTCTTGCGTGCTTGTTTGTTGTGCCAAGTAGAACTTAAAAGGGAAACTACTCTGCAGCAGTGATCAAGTGTGATTGTGTTTACTTAATCACAGAGCTTCGTTCAGTCCTCGGGGGACAATAAGAAAGGCCGCAGAGGCTGCCAGTGATGAACAACAACTGGGAAGAAGCTGTCACAACATAATTGCTCTCCTACTCAAATTAGGTGCAGATGAAATTGCATACATTAACCCCACCGGTGGGTTGTAGTGCATCTCTCGCGATCCTAGCCGTTGTGTTATTACTCAGCTACCGTTTTTCATCCTCACAAGGACCAGATAGCGAGTGAGCTCATGCAAATCGAGCTGTTTTATCCTGTTTACTCAAGGAATTAAATGAAAAGGAGATGGCAGAATTCCCTGGGGAGTGGGGTTCAGCGTTTTCCTGCTTAGACGCTCCAATTATACACTCCCCGCACATAACTTATGCTAATGTCTATATATGCGAGTAGATGAAAAAGGGAGAATTACGTGTGGCCGCTGTATTGATGTAATGCATAACTTCATAGAGGTAACAACATGAACACAATGATAAACAAGCAGTGGCCCTGTGCACGCTTTGATAGAACTGGAAGAAAGTGCAGCAGTTTGAAAGTCTTTAAGGGAAACTTCCATTTGTGTAAAAAGAGAGATTGTCTTTGGTGGAAACAGAAAATTTGAATGTACATGTTTTTGATGCTTGCTTATTGTAAGTACATTTTTATTGTTTTTTTGTTTTTTTATTACTGATCTTGTGAATTAAACAGTGTGTGGAGGTGAGCCGCATTATTGTGCCTACCAGCAGGTGTAGCAGTAGGTCGGTGCGATCCAGCCACGTTGCCCCTGCTCCTCCTGCTCCTCCTGCTCCTCCTGCTGCTGTCGCTGTGCACCGACATGCTCGAGTCCTGCAGTCGGCTGAGGCCCGGGGAGAGAGGGGGCAGTCTGTGGTCTGGGACTGCGAGGCCACATTGTGGGAAGGTGGGCTTCTGGAGGTCACAGTGAGGCTTCTTCTTAAACCCTGCTGCCTCCTCTGAGGCCTCTGCTGGCTGGGCTGCAGTCGGCAGAGGCTGGGCTGGGCAAGATAAAGACAAACATACAGTGAAGATGTATTAGCTTGTTTGGGTTATTTTTGATTGTTTTTAAGTTATATTCTTTTGTAATTTGCTTAATCATCATTTGGTAGAGTCCTTGCTCCAATAAAGTATAATATAAAGGAAGGGGGTCCCTCATTATTAGTTAATTTTGTCGCCCTGTCTTGTAGAGCAGTGGGTCCCAATCTTTTTTCTTACCCGTTTTCTGTCGTAAAGTAAACTGACGACCCCTGATTTCATATTATATTCAACACATAAAGAACAACTGATGGCCTACCTTTCTAATGCAGGGCAATTATTATTTTTTTTGTTTTCAGGTCTTAATTAAATAACAATTGAAAATGGATTTTTGTATTTATTATTATAAAATCAAGAAGGCCTTAAAGGGTATTTTTGAACCCAACAACGGGGACACAGTGACGCAGATAAGAGAATGCGCATGACCTGTTTGTCTCCTGAGTTAACTGTGCAAATGCAAAGCAAAGCTTTGGCGACCCCCAGATTGGGAACAGCTGTTGTAGAGGGAACCTATGTCAAAACCTTTATTGGGGAGTTGGCAGTTTATTTCTCACTGGTATCTGAAAATTCACAGCAGGACAGATTTGAAAACTTGATTTCAAGAGAGACTGTGATAAAGGCAGTGGCACAGATGATGCGTTCACTGTCCTACCTCAGATGACTGTATGGTGTATTTTCTCACTAACTCTGCCAATCTGGTTTTTCAGTCAAACCCCTCATCAAGAGTCAAAACATTTGAGTTTGGTCACTGTATTGTTCGCTGTACAGGTCTCACAGTTTCCACTTACTGCTGATGAGGTCAATGGGGGTGGTATTTCCTCTGTTCACAGGGTCACATGCTGAAAGGATTTCCTGTGCTGATTTTAAAGACACGCTACCTTGAGACGCATCAAAAGAAAGTCAAATTAGTTGAGAAGCTATCAAAAGATATGACGGATTCCTCACTGACCACACCGACATAAAACATCTGTAAATTCAGGACTTGTTAACAACAATTTGCTTGAATTTTTTGGTTGATTGTTTTGAATATTAACATATTCACAATGACATAATTACATTACATAATTACATAATTAAATACGGTGTTTCAGTGGGAAATTCATGTCACAGGATGTTTTTATTGAGTTTCAGAGGTTTTAACACGGTACCCGGTGTGAAACTTTTCAATATTGTTAAATTGTAAACTTTACACATAAGGAATTTGTTTATCAGGTGAAGCTTAAAAACAAGTGGGCTGAGCAGCATTGTGGATGTATTAGGAAAAATCTGCTAATTTCAGGTCAGGGGTACTTGCCTTTAGTCGGGTTGCTCTGTTCCTCTGTCCTGTCCACAGGTACATGGTCTCCTGGTAACATGTCTGATACTCATGACTGCTCAGGATCTGTGTTTCACTTTGTTCAACCGTTCACCTTGTCCATCCTCGCTCTTCTGCCCGCACCAAAAGGTCAGGAAACCTCCAACAACACCCAACATGCCGGCCTGAGTCACCGCTCAGGAGACTGTGAGCTGTACTGTGGGTGTGGGTGTGTGTTGGGGGTGTTTTGTTGTCGACTAAATAACACTCCCCTTCCCAGCAGATCTCTGAATCTAAACATGCTGATCACAGAACAGCTGAGTCGGCCGAGGCCTGGTCGCTTGACTTCAGGTTCCCTTCTGTGTTCTGCTTTTAGTCACCTAACACAGTGGAGACACATACCCCACAAGTGTGTCAGCTGAATACTGTATGTAAGCAAGCTCTCTCGCCCTCTTATGTACACACACACACACACACACACATACACAAACAAATCTGTCAAAGTTGTATGATATCAAGCATTCAGTATGTAAATAAATGCAGTTACTAGTTTGCTCTTTAATTATGTAATTCATACTTTCAAATTAATAGTTTGTTAGTCAGTTAGTTTTTATTTCTGTATGAACATACATTCTGTATGAACATACAACAACATTTGGCCCATCCTACATGAGGTATGAAGACACCACTATAATATAAATAGCAACACATTTTCAGGTGAATAAAGTACAAAACAACAACAAAATCACTTATTACATGTATTTATATATTTTTTAAAATAACATTTATGTGCCAAATAAAATGAACAATAATTAAGGCATACAAATGATCATAACTGAATCAGTGTTATATAAATTATATTGTTAACCTTTGTTTGGCTTAACTTAAGGTCCACTTACTAACTTTTAAGCTCATGGTCTTCCTCTGTGGATGGAGTTTGTGTCAACGTCTGAGGCCTGACTTTATGAATGAGCCGCAGTGTGTTACCTTTGACACCCTAACATGTGGTGAAATGTGAAACACTATTGTTTTATGTTAATTTGAGAGCACAAGGCAGTAATAAATCAATCACTAATTCCGTTTGCAGAAATATTGATTTCACGAAGAGATTGGACACATGGACGACAGCATCATCATTGCATGTTAAAGATGAACAGAGACCAGCCCTTTCAGAGGGGCTGTTGACTAAGTGCTGTCAAAAGTGTTGCGTTAAAAAAAACAAGTTGACTTGCCCGCCTCACAGTGTCTATGGCACATCAAAGCAACGCATAAGTGAAGCTGTTGAAGTTGTCGAGCACCGTGCTAACTTTCAGTCAGTAAACACGCCACATGGAGAGGCAATCAGAAGAAAATGTCATCTAATAGGCTGACAGGGAATCAAAGGAAGCCCTGAGAGGCAACAGCAAACTTAAAGCTAACTCGTTATCATCCAAGACAATTACTGACATTAGTCAAAACAGGGAGCTGAAAAATCTGAGGCCTTTGTTCTGTATTTGGTTGTGAAGTCTACAGTAACAGCTTCACTTCATGGTGTTTATCAGTGGATGAGACCATGTTGGGGCTGTCTATCCATGAGTTTTATCTTAGCATTTTATATGATGATGTGAGGGTAAAAAGGAGGATAAACTGAAACCTTCTCTTAAATATAAAAGAAATATTTTAAAAAAAGATTGCTGCAGATATAATAATTGAATGATAATCATTATTATTTACAGTGGGTATTTTAAGGTATGGCACCTTTAACTTGTGCATAGTTGTACATGCATTTTTCCTGTCCTCATATACATCAACTATCATTGTTTTCTTTCTTTTTTTTAAACTTACTTTATTGGTTTTTCAAGAAACCTAAACCATGCACAACTGTATATAAATACACAAACATACATTTATGATTGAATAAATAGAAATGTAAAAATGAATTTATAAAAAATAACTGTCATTGCTGTTACAGCAACTATATAAACCACACATTGTAGAACATTCAGAATTCAACAGTATTGTGAAGGATTTGGATTAAACTGTCAAGCCAAGTGTTGTATTATGCTGCTTACATGAGCATTAACATGACATTGCAAATGTATTTACCTAAAACCAAGCAATATTTTATTGTACATGTAAATTCCTAAACACCCAACTCTCACAGGTGTAGCACAAGTACACTGGTGGGTAACAGAGCTTAACATTTAAATTTGGTCTGAATGTAGAGTTTGACATCAAACAATGTCATTAATCACAGGTGTGACAATGAAATATATTTTAAAAAATACATTGACAAACAATTAACAGGTTTATATGTTTATTACATTGTTATCACTTTGGACATACAATTACAGACAAACACATTTTTATAAATAGAGAGTTGTATGTACATCTAATGTAAATATTTAAAATGTTACAAAAGTGGAATGTTTGGAACAATCTTTATTTCAGTGGAAACACAGCGTTCAGTTAAATACACAAGTTACACACATGTAACAACACATAAGACTTAGGATTTTGCTTACTGTTTAAAAATGAACATCAATAAAACACATTTCAGCAGGCTGAAACTTACATATTTTTTTAATGTACAAAGACAACAGAGAGAAGCCACACACACTATGCATGTTTTCAGATATTTCATCTACACAAAACCACTAAATATTTCTCTCTTTGCTCCAATGATTCACATCCACCTGTTGTTGTTTCTTCATCTCTGTCACAATAAACAGATAACACATTCATTCTATAACAAATATGTATGTGAATCGCTTATTTTGGCCTTTGGGATGTATTATTTACATGAAAAAGACTTGTTCACAGTGAAAGAGGACATCATTAGATCACAAAATATCAAATCCCAACTATTTTTGCCCGTGTACATTCTTACTTATTTTTGTTTTTTACTTTTATGCTTGTCATGATGCACTTTTTTATCTAGGTAGATCAAATGCGAGCAACTGTACGGCTTTGAATACACTGAATCTCATATTTAACTGTAATAACTTTTACTTTACATTTTTAAACTGTTTTAAATTATAATACAATTTATTAAAGCAGAAAATAATCATATTTAAGGCTGAAATGTCAAAAGAAAAAATGGACAACTGCAGACAAGTTTTTACGTATATGAATATATGAACTATATGATAAACCACAATTTTGAAAAGCTCCATTTTGATGTGTATTGATCAAATATCAATATTTTGTTAAGAATTTTATGTCTTCTGGCACTACACACTGTAAATTAACATGAAGTTACTATGTTATAATATGTAAACTGTGGTCTACATCCCTGAAAGTTCAACAAAGGCTAATTTCACTGCTTTGTAACTGATTATTTTAACCCTTTTTTGTCATTCAAGATCAAACAAATGCTCATCATCATTTTCAGTCAAGTTGTGCTGCAGATTGGCTGGATTTACTGCTGGCATTAGAGATTCTTGGTCATTCAGATTCAGTGTGTCATCTATAAGCAAAAGAGACCTGCAAGAGGTGAAAAGACATTTAGATCAATTTTTGCAGCGCATCAGCCATTTAATTGACTTCAGGAGTTCACAATAAATAAAAAACTCACTGCTGGACTCGTGGAGAGAAGTTCTGTTTACTGTGGCTGTTGCTGTTTGTTGCTTTGTCCTTCTGTATTTGACACCTGGAGTTTCTGCTGACACGCTCCTTCTTGAATCCTGGCAGTGATGCCTCAGCCAGAACACTCTACAAAGTAAATTAAATAAAAATCAAACAGTGACGCCAAACTTCAAAAAAAACAAAAAAACTGTATTTAGGAAGTTAGTGCTGCAGTTCTCACCTGTAAGCTGGCATTCAGAACGCCCCCAAAATCCACGCTGGAGGACACATTTTTCATCAGTGATTGACTCCTGTAGAACAACAAAGAATTTAAAAATGGACCCAATCCGATTTATTTATTTGATGTTATTTGCCTTTCTCTGTGGTAGGGGGTAGTGAGGGTGGGGGGATGAATAATGTCCATTATTCTTATTTTTATTTATTATTCTTTCCCACTCATTTTACTTATCATGTCTGAGCTGTTTTGTTCGGTGCTGAATAGAAAAATGCAATAAATATATTTTCCCCCAAAAAATAAATAAAATACACTGATTGCTGTGAATTAGACACAATCCATGTCTAATTCACAGCAATCAAATCAATACCTTGTATATATTGCACAAGCTACGACATGGATAACAACAATAGTTTGAGGCAAGGTAAGTAACGATAAATAATTCAGTCGCATCAATGATGAGGACAGAACCTCGAACTAGAGCCTGGAAACTGTCGCCAGGATTACTCTATTCATTCATTTACTCAGGCCTATAATCAAGAGCAAACGTGTACAATGCTGCAGATGCAATAAGAAACCTATTTTACTTCTATACTGGACACAGGGAGTTCTACAGGATTATATATTGGGTCCATTTTGACTCTGACAGTGGTGTCAAAACAGATCAGAGAGACTTAAAAAGACTAAGACACACCCTAAAATATGAGAAACGAGAAAATATAAACTCATGTTGTGCTCTATGTCTCACAACAGTGACAATTTGTACAGATTTATTTGCATGTTAAATAACAGCTTGTGGGGCTGTGATCCACCTAGAAGAGGAAGAAGAATAGCGTTTTTCTACTTGTCTCAAAGATCATTATATCTGAACCAGGATCAGGATCTACTGTACCCTGTGATCTTCTGGGATCTTCTCCTCTGGTATTCCACCTCGTCCACCGTCCACACCGCGCCTTTCACATTCTCCACACGCACAAAACACTTGTGCAGGCTCAGGTTATGGCGCACTGCGTTCTGATCCAGAGAAAATCAGAGTGAAGGAGATATTACGGAATAACATGCTGCATAAATCAGGTATGACACACGCTGGGATATCACAGAGTTAATTATCTGGTGATGCGATACCTTCCAAGTGGCAGCGTTGCGTCTGAAATAAGCAAATGTCCGTGTGAACCAGTTGTATATCTCGTTGAGTGTTAGTTGCATGTCTGATGTTTCCATAATAGCCTTTAGATGGAGGGAAGATTAAACATAAATATATCAGAAGCACAGTACAGGATCAAATTAAAGCCCTGACTTATTTACTTCAGATCCAAGGAAGGAGGTAGGAAAGTCACACTCACAACAGCTTTATTTTTTAATTCCTTGAATCAATATTTTGGCACAGATATTGCCTTTTTTAGGATGAAAGACCAGTAATCATCTCAGTGACACAAGACAGGTGTATGGCTGGAAATAAAGTTTTTTTTCAATCAGCGATTAATCTGCCAAGCATTTTCTTGATGAATCAGTTAATCACTTGATTTCAGAAATGTCCGGAAATAGTCTAAGTTAAACTATTTAAATTTCCTTTGTTTGTCTGTCTGTCTCAACACTCCAAAACCCAAAGATATTCAGTTTCCTATCATAGAAAACTAAGAGAACCAACAAATATTCATATTGAATACACTGAAACCAGGGGATTTGAATGATTAATCGACTATCAAAATTGCTGCCAATTACTTTTCTGTCAGTGTTTGAGCTTCAGGCAGGTGATTCAAATGAATGAGCTTACGTGGCAATCCACATTAAAATAGACATACAGTAGGTAGAGAGGTCATTTATTGGCAAGAAAGGCATTAAAATGTTCTAGGGACCAATGCACACAAACAGGGAAACACATTAATGAAATTAAAGTATGTAATTAGTCTAAGTCTACAAAATAATTTCAATAATATATAAATATATAACATATAAGTTACCAATACAATGTTTGAAGTTAAGTAAATAAAGACTGTACCTGTCTTATCAGTGTTGCATAGGTGAAAGGTGGCCTGATATCGGTGTTCTTATAGAGTTCATATTCATTTTCTGAAACAAGACAAAACATAGAGGAGACTGGAGTAGAACATGTGCTACAAACTATTTGCTGTATGAACATTATAATAATAGAAAAAGGGAAACATTTTGGGGAATTTGGTTTACCTGAAGACAGTGAGTAGACCAAAGGATGATGGCGTTGTCTTATGGCCCCGGCGCATGATGCGTGAGTGAGGAACTCCTCCTCGCACCCCTGGGAGGGAGAGCTGACACGGGCCGGAGGTTGGGGGGACGTCTGGGCTGAGTCTGATGGGCTCAGCGAGGGCAGGTTGTTGGTGATGCCGACTGAGCTGAGCTGAGAGGGACACAAGCAGATGATCCAAGTTAACAAAGGAACAAGACCCACAGAGAAACAAAACAGACTTTTTTTTTTCTTCACCAGAGTGTAACAGAGCGATTTGCTTCGCCTCTTCAGAGGTGATTCCACTAATATCGCAAGAAGAAGGAAGCCAATTATTGTTAATTATAGGGTGAAATTGTTTGGTGAGTGTTGTGATTATGGTGCAATATTTGCAAGATTAACAAATGATTAGCTTCCACATTATCAGAGTGAGCTTGTGCATGTGTGATGTCTAAAAGACACAATGGTAGCCATCTGGTGCCAACAGCTGGGCACTGAAAGGAAATGAAGTGCTCACATCATGCAGTCACACTCCACAGGGATGGAGATCTCCCCAAAGGAATAATGTAAAAGTAATTTGAAAGTTAAGGTAAAAAAAGAACAAAATGGTAAAACTTTTTCCAAGATATGTATTTGTGATTCTGTATTTATGGTTCAAATGACCTTCATCTCATACACGGATATACCCCTAAAGCCATGTTTTTTTATTTCTAAAAAAATGATTTTTGCAACTGGAAAAAGTCCCCAGGTCAATTACAGGCTGGCGGTATCTTCCTCACCGCCAGAGAATAGGTTGCAGCCAGACATGTGGTTTTTTCCCTCTCCAACACATATTTGGAGTTTTGCTTACAGCTCAGAAATGCCGTCCAGTTTTTACGGCTCATTTACTTCGCCTCTGTTGTTCGCACAGCTATTACTGCGCGCTATCTACCTGTGGACTGCGTGGGTCAGCAGCTGTATCAGACTGTGGCGACTGCAGACTCGTGGGTGCAGAGATCGACTGAGCTTCTAAAGACGGCAGATGCAGGTGAGCAGTCATCGCTTGCAGACGCTCCCGTTCCTTGCAGAGCTGTTAGAGGAGATGAAGGGAGGGAGAAGAAATCAATGTGGACACAGCGTCGCATCACAAATCACTGGACACAGATTACTGAAATGGAATGCTCTGAACCAAACACAAGTACAATTTCCTGTTGTGTCAAACATCAGGACAGAGGCGGTGTTGGCAGAACATTACATGAATATTTACCATAAGTAAGACAGTGTTTACGTGGGGAAATTTGGGGAAAACTCAGGAAAGAGAATCCAGTTTTGTGGACTAATATTGCCATTATAAATATCCTTACTTAAACTAATAAAAACCAATCACTCCAAACAAGTCTCAGTTAGGTTAGAATATGATAATGTTGTTAAATTTCTAATTTTACGTGTTTGACCCCAAGAGCACAGGACATGTTTTCATGGCCACTAGCACACAACCAGGAAGGACATGTGCACAGGACTCATGCCTACCTGAAGCTCCAGCTGCTGAACCACCTGCATCTGGACTCTGCACTGTGCTGTACTCCTGTCGTCCAGAGTGTGCTCGCTGCCTATGTGCCTGAAACACACACAGGGGCATTAAAGGGATACTCCACTGAAAATCTGTCCATCTCTCCATTCATTATCTATAACTGCTAATTCTTTATTGAGTATAAAATACTTATTCCTTAGGGAGTCCTGTAATCAGCTTGAGTTCACTGCAGTCACAATGGATTCCAATAGTGACGAATCTATCAAAACATTCATGAAAACTTCATTCAAACCACTGGTGCAGAAATGAATCTGATGAAGATTGTCTGACATTCTGTATGCATCAGTGGTTTGAGAAGTTTCTACGGGTGATTTGATAAAATAATGTTTTGTTTTTTTCACCATTTGAAATAAACTGTAATCGCTGTGAATCCAGGCTGACTTTCATTTTATCCCCAGTTTGTTCCTCTCATGTCTTATCCTTACATTTAAGTCACAAAGAAAAGCATAATTGGTTTTTCTGAAAGATAAATCGCTGGCGGTCTTTAAAAATAACCAAACAGTAATTTAACAAATATTTTAGAAAGTATTTCCAGAATCCTCAAATGCTCTATTACTCCACTAAAAATAATATTATGTCTGCTGCAGGATAAATATGATTTCTATCCTGTTTCCCACATCATGGCTGTTTCCCATCCAAACAAAGGTCAAATCTGGGAATGACATATGCTAAATTAACTATATTTTATATATATTAATGTTACTTTCTATTATTTTATATTTTGTCCTATATTTGTCTTTTGTTGTACGAAATGAGATATGTAATTTATGGCAACCTGGCTTTAGAGAGTTTAAAACTGCAACTTGGAAAACTTGTTAGAAAACTTTATTACTGTGTGCAATAAAATTGTGAAGAGTATTCTGAAAATACTAACAGCAGTAAATGTTGTGGCTAAACATTACGAGTGATTCATCTTTCAGAACAAAGGATGCATTGCTCTGTGACTTGAATGCAATGATAAACAAAAAAAGACTTTCACAGGAGTTTTCCTTTTAAATCACAAAGAGTCAAAAAGTGAAATGCATTAGGACTGCGTTAAAACCTACTTGATGAACTGGCTGAAGCTTTCACACACCGCCTCACATCCGGGCCAATTACACACACTGTGGCTGTAGAGAGTGTGTATGGCAGCGCAATCAGCTTTAACAGCACTAGATGAGGATGAAGAGGAAAATGAAAGTATTGTCATGATTAAAAAAACCCAGCAGCCTGACAAACAGCAACAAAACAAGAGCAAAACAGCAATAAAACAGATATAAGTGTGTTTTGTTTTCTTTTAATGTAGCTGATAATGACAGAGAGAGGTGGAAGAAAGCACTGAAAAATAAATGGAAAACTATTTACTTTTGATTTGGGACATGCAGTCATGTAAACTTTTTCTTTGCTGAACCGTTTCAGTTGGCGGAACACAAAGCAAACAAATAAAAAAACAAAACACATCGTCCCGAGGGGAATTAAATAGTGAAGTCTCGCTGCGAAAGCAAACAGCTCCCCACGAGCACCTTGAGAGGAAGAAAATGTCTGCAGATGACACGTCTTTGATGTTTACAAAAAAGCCTTATCATCTCAGTTCTCACAATCTGTTTACAGCGCAGACAGTTCATACCATTCTGCCCTGCTGGGAGAGGACGTCTGCTGGTCACCGGCCTGTCTCCGTGTGACTTTTGTTGACATTATGTTGTTAGTAGAAGAGTCCTCATTGCCCTGCGATGTGGTTTTATGTTCAGTCATTGCATTTGTGAGCTCTTTCCATATCTGCTGCATCTCTGCAGAGCTGAAACCACCTAAATTATAAAACACAAACAGTTATTTTACATTTCTAAATCGAGTTTTTTGTTTTACATCTTAAGGAAACTGCAAAAAGAATGGGGTAATATTATTTACATATTATACCTTACAGGCAGCTGACTCAAGTAGCTGAGTGCCATATTTTTCCAGAATTATGACATTTACTTTACAGTGAGTATGGTTTTTTTTGCTGTTCACACCTGCATTTTTTCATCTGTGCTTCACATTCACACAGTTTCACTCATTCCCACCTCAAAGGTTGAGGGTAGAAACTCTGTCTCATGACCTTATGTTAACTCTTCCCTGTAATCCAGGAATTAATTATCACAGGTAGAATATGAGTAATGATTCTACTTTTAGGTTTCACTTTAATCATCGTGTCTTTTGAGTTTAGTGCAGTTATATAACAGAACAAAAAACAAGTCTACCTCGGTGACAAAATAGTTTGAGATACATGTCTATGTTTGTCTATTTTTGTGTCCTTGTGATATGATACAATGTACTATAGTAACCCTATGGTCGATTCAATTTCACACTTGTAAACATCTGAATTACTAAAAACCCTGATACTGTACAGAAAATATAACCACACAGAGCATTTGAAATGAAACAGCTGATACCATTGCTTTCAAAGGATACTACTCCGAAGAGGGAGAAGCAACACAAAAGAAAAATGTAATGTCAGTGTTAAATGTAAAGAGGAGTGACCTGGAGAGAGAGCAGGAGAGGACAGGACGGGTCTCTGCACCCGGAGGAGCTGCTGCTGCTGCTGCTGCAGCTGGAGGAGCTGCTGGAACACGAGCTGCTGTGCAGGAAGCTGAGGGACGGAGAGACAAAATAAGACATTCCACAGAAAAGTGATGTAGTATTCATATGAAACTCTCTTGTATCCTGGTAGTTTGTCCGGGTTTTGACCCGGAGCTAAAATGAGTGGCATGTACCTCATCTGTAATGGCATCCTTCAACAAATACTGTACATTCCAAACCAAAAACTCGCCACCCACGCCACCGACATCTAAGCTGTGAGTGCTAGAAAACGCTGTTCTCAAGCACATAAACATGTCCTCTGTTGATTAGACATTTCTGTCCAGTTAAAATATGTTTTCATTATTTATGTCGCTTACAGGCCACCATAAAATGTTTCACAGTTCTGTGGATAAAGTTATCAATGTTACATTTCATTTATTACATTTATCTTACTCATAAGGGTTTTTATAAGACAATGGATATATAAACCTTAGTGCAAAGCTAGTCAAACAAACTTAATGAAAAAAGTGGCCACAAATAACTACTTACCTCTTTGACTTTCTTGCTTGGCTGCTGTTGAAGCAGCTGCAGGTGAATCTGCTGTTGTTGCTTCTTGTAAAACTCTTTCAGGTGTTGCTGGAAAAATGGTGAGACTCTTATTATACCATTAAACTCTTCATTAACAGATTGCCAAAAGTAACATTTAGTTCTACTGCCCTTTTGTTTTCCTTTTGTGAAGTCAAAATGTCTGTCATGAAAAAGCACAATAGACCTTTTTCACAGCAGTCATTTTTACATGAAATAGGGTAAACACAGGTGTTACCAATGATACTAATTAAGGTTCAGTTCCATTCAGGTCAAACAGAGTCAAGGTTGCTGATGTTATACATGTTAGTTTGCTGGAAAGGCTCTGCTACACTAAACGGAACAGAACCATAATTAGTATTAGTGGTAACACCTGTGTTTACCGTCAAAATGGCTGTTAAATTAAATTAAAATTTAAATTGAGAGGTCAGGTAGGCTAAGTGGCTTAAGTTAATATTAATTAAAATGCATGTACTGTATTGTATTTTTTTTAGTTCATGGTTGTTTTAAGTGGGGCCTGACAGCCAAAGTTGACCCACCATAGGGTTAAATTTTGGCCCACCCAAAACAAAACAAAACAGTTTTTACTTGGTTATGAAACAGATTCAATTTAATAGGTGGGGCCTCTATCTGACCTACATAAACAAACAAGACCATCTAGGTAAACTAACTAACTAATATTAATCAACAAATTTGTTTACCTTTATACAGTAAGCTAGCTGTGAGGTTAGCTAGACTAACTAGATAACTTTACAGTAACTTTAACCAAAATTACCAAACTTACAATTCATTGTTTTTGTTTCTTTTTTGCAGTTTGTTTACCAGATTAGCTTAAAGTTATCTCACAAGTGAATTAAGGTTAGTTGGTTAAAATGAACAAGTTCTCCCATAACCGTTTTGTCATTTTGTGTTAGCAAGCTAGTTTGCTATGCCAGACAATTAGCTAACTAGTTTACCTAATCTGACCAATTAATGTAGCTCCCTTAGCAGTAACAGTCTCTCACTCAGTCTCTACAGTTGTTAACATTAGCTAATACCTTGATGTCTATTAGAGGTAATACTGTAATAGTAATGTCATACTGTAAATTAAATAACTAGTTTACCTGAGATTCAATAGATTAATTAACTTATAAACACTTATGGCTGATGTTAAAACTGTATTGCACTGTATTGGAGTGAATGTAGTTAGTTTTACTAGTTTCTTTACCTGGTAAAGTCCAGTCCAGTAAACCAGAGTCCAGTGTATTATTAGTAGTAGTTCCTACATTAGTGTTGGTGTTGCATAAATACCTGCTGGAGAATGAGAGCCTGTTGCTTCTGGTGGATCAGCGCCTGCAGCTGGTTGGGGGACAGAAGGTGATGCATGTGCTGAGGAGCCATCATAGCCAGAAAAACCTTCAAGAAGAAGACGGAGGACAAAATGACAAAAGACCACAGTCTACAGAGTGAAGGCGAGGGGACGAGTGAGTGAGACAGAAGGCAAGTGTCAGGTGTTAAACAGTAATAACCATCGAATGGAAATCTTTCCAATCCAATTACAAAACAGTGCTGTCAACCTTTTGTGAACATCATCGAGCTGGATTGTGTCATTGACCCTAAATGAGATGGGAGATAGGCTGACCAGTTAATTAGCCACACAATTACATGCTTGTTGTGACTCCTAATAGAAGTGTATGGGTATTAATAAAGGCAAACACTCACAGAATAATAACTGATCTGCACTGTTACTGGCTGAGAGACAAATAACACAGTGATTGTCTCCTTTTGAATTCAGACACAGCAATTGCCATGACTGCATTAACCAACAACAAAAGCCACTTACAAATTCAACATGTATTACAAACAAAGCTGAAAAATAATACTAGTGCTGACAATTGATTGTTGGGGAAAATATAATTTATTATTTGTTTATGGCTCTTTTTACAAATGGTGAATATCTCTAATTTTCTACATACAACACGTCAATTGCTGTATACGGATAGGTGTAAAGGCTGTGAGCCGATGTTCTTCGTAGGTGTCAGTGAAGCTTTATGTCTATATTGGAGTAATATCTTTGCAGCTTGCAGGATGTAATGAAAAGAAGACCACATCAGGGACCATCAAGTTTGTCATTGGTGTCGTCAGTCCTTTGAGAAAATACCTCCTGTGTTCTCAACTTGAAAGTTAAGAGTGGAAATTGGATGAAGAATTCACACTTTGGCACAGCAGGTTCAACAACCTGCATTGCTGGTAGGCATGTATGATTTGGTCTTATTTAACGATGGGTAAATTGGTTGATTTGCTAGGTCAGAAGAGACAGTGAATTAATTGTTTAAGTGTTTACTCTACAGTCTCTTAAATGTGACGATTTTTCAAATTAAGATTATCTCTGGTTTCTTCACTGTGTCACATCCCCGAGGTGGAACCAGAGACAGTAACATGACAATGAAAATCCGGCAATTTAAGATAGATCTGGGAAATTGGGATGAATGCATTTCACAATTTTCTTTATTCTTTATCTCTTTATTTTTTTGTATTTTTATTTCTTCATTTATTGAGTAAACAGGTGATTAATTGTGAAAATACCAAACAGGTGAATTTATAATAACAATAACTGCTAGTCTTACACTTCTTGTATCTTTTTCTGAATCTTGTGTATGTAGTTGTAAAGAAGGCACCGACATACAGCTGGCTTCATTATCATGCTTTATAAATCACTGGGTAACCATTTCTGGACTGTGGATTGGATGCTACACTTAGAAAAGAAATACATTACAGATAGAGGACCTTCTCTTTCATTATGAGAGAAAACCAATCTGCACTGTAAATAGTCTTCATTTGTAATGTTTTCAGTGTTTGCAGGTTGAAAAACTTTCATATCACAGGCCATTATTATGATTTGAAGACTTGAATCACACTCTGGCAGACAGGCAGCATTGCAACGGTGGCATTATGACATTGTCGCTTACTATGTTCACTGAAAATTACCAAAAAAATAACATGTTTAAAAATTCAGCTCACACAGTTGCAGACAGTGGTAGGAGAGCCTTTACTATGGACAGTGCCAGTGCTTTTTGGTATTATATATAAAATTCTGTAGGGTCACGAGTTGAGTCCTTTGTGCAGGTTTATAAAATGAATTAAGAGAAAAGAGCAGAGCAAAACTGGCATGATGAGAGAACAGATTGAAGGAAATGGGCGTTCATTATCTCGGTTTGTTTCATTGATCCCCTAGATTAAGATTCCCAGGGATGGAATGGCAACAGACAAGCATAAAATTATATTGGGCCATGCTTATTTGCCTTTCACTTGCATCTGTTTGGCCTAGGTCTGTGGACAATTATTCCTCCCTGGCTCTGACTCACAAACTAATAATGAAGGACAAACAGAGTTCTGCGTGACAACTCCCAACCCGCATCAGATCTCATATGAAATCCCTGCCACTGTCAACAGAGCTACGGACTCCGGGTTTGGTGTCCTGTCAGAGGACGTCGAATATGGAGCTGACTGGCTGTATTTCCCCTGACATCTGTTTGCCTAAGACTGTTCTATTTCCCGCTTATGAAGAGGAGGAGGAGGGAGCGATGAAGGAAGAAGAGGAGGACGAGTGGGAGGTTGAGGAGTAGTAGATACCTGTTTCTGGTGGAGAGACTGCCAGTTTTCACCACTCACACCGCTGCAGGAGTCCCCATTAGCTACACTCTCTCCTGCACCGTTGTCTGTGTGACTGAGCAGGCTGCTGGCTGGAGTTTGACGGGTTGCCGAGGGACTGAGAGGAGACTCAGGCATCCCAGCTCAGGTCCTAAAAGAAAACAGTCAACACTAAAAGAGCTGTAAGACTCAAACACTGCACATACAGTTCAGCATTGCTGGCAAATTACACTTTTGTGTGGCTCTGTGTTAAGCACGTGGCAATTTTTCAAAAATACCAAATATGGTGGGCGTGCTTATTGAAGCTTTTGCTAATACGTCATTAAAAGAGAATAATTACAGTAAAAAGCATTCCTTTATACAACTGAAAAAGACAATGCAAGGCTCTAAATCCAATAAAATTCTATACATGCAAAGACTTGATAAAGCTAATTAATCTGTAATTTCCATGTATAAATGTAAGTGGAAACAGCAGTAAAGCATAAAGTATTTCAGTATAGTTACTTAACATTTTTGGACATGCATATGAACATGTTGCTGTTATCGTACAGTATCACTTTTACAACTACAGATTAACACACCACAAATCAGTGTAATTTGACACAAAATATAGTCAGTAAATGTATCAGTGGCTTGCTATTGGCGGGGCATGAAGATCCAGGGAAACCGGCTTGGAGTTTTTCAAAGCCAACTTTTTATTAGCCTACATGTCTTAACTTATCTCTGAACTCCATGAAGTAGAAACTCAGAGGTAAAAAATATACTACATATAGGCAAGAGAGAGCTATAAAATACAGCCTGTTACCTTATAAACTTGAGCACACCAATTGAGTTTGAGTATTAACTCCTAAAAAACATACTAGAAGAAAAATCTGATCACATCATCATAGCAGAAAGCTCTTTTTCTGTCAGAATGGTGTTAAAGCTACATACCGTTAAGATGAATAGTCGAATTCAGAGCAGCCAGGCAGAGTTGATGTGTCCAAGTCATGCAGTTTAGAGTGAGGATGGGAGAGAACTGATGGTGTTGTGTGTCTACCTGAGGGGGAGGAGTCCCAGTGTAAGTCAGTGAATTAGACAGTGAGAATAGCAGTTGAGTACCAGGATGAGAAAAACAGGAAAATAATAGTTGCCAAATCAGCTGAGTGCATTTTTATTTTAGGTTTAAAAATAACAGTGTTTACCCAGTTTGTAGTGATGTTTCTGTGTTTTTAATAAGGTATGGGTTTCATTAACCAATAAACTACATTGCAATAATATAAAAATATAATGTATATTTTTTACATAACATATAGACAATAAATTGTGTTTTTCTTTACAGTTTTTTTTATTTTGCAGTAAGAATGCATTTTTGCAGGCATTACTTTTCTTTGTTGATATTCATAGGCATACACAAAGAAACATTACAAAACAAAATGCCTCAAAACAAGGATAATTTATTGTCTTTCATGAGTAAAACAAAGCATTCTCTTTGAGAAAAGACAGGTATAGTGGTCTGGGACTTTATTTAGACATGCAGTATCTACGTGGTTTGAACAATAAAAAAGAGCTCTGCAGCTACACAACTGTCAAACTGTTATCAAAGAGCTATTTACAGTAGTGTCTGTGCTTTTATTTGAATAGGAAATCAGTACATCTGTTAAAAACAAATAAAAGAGTTTTAATTTTGGTTGCTGATAAATGCAGTGTACCCTAGAGAGGAAAAGTTCAGCGCAGCTACATTGACAAACAATACCTCAAAATGACACAATAGACTTGATACAGGACATTTCTATTGTGTGTGGTGTTTTCATTCTGTTTTACTCTTTTTACTCTTTTACTGTTTTCTTTCTTTTCTTCTTTTAAGCACGCTGACTTTATCACAATGCAGTGGTTTGTTGTAATGCCTACTCTTTATTGGAAAATATGTTTTACAGACTGCAAATACATGATGAAGGAAGATGATGATGACCAAAGGCCAGGCTGCCACACTACCAGGAGTAATTGTACTTTTAAGAGATGAGAGACCTAACAAGGTAAGTAACAAAGAATACATTCTTTCATATTTTAACACACAGATAATTTTCAGTATTTCTCTGTTGTCATGGCATAAGAATGAAGAATTAACATGACATTGGTATGAATACAATAGTGCAGGCTAATACATTAGACATGATGTATATTATATTATATTTATATAAGGGACAGTTGAGGAGAGAGACCAAATATATCTTCTCTCTACAAAAACATATCTTAGAGCAGGACAGACTTTAGAGAAAGAGAAGAAATTAATGATTGAATTGTAAATATTGTTACCAAGGTAATTTTCTGCCACCTACTGGATTAGTATTTACCTGCCCTCCAGTTTATATGGAAGGAAAAAGTAATATCAATTCATGTATATACAGAAACAGGGAAAACCCTTTACAAGTGGTCTCCACCTGTACATTTCATTATAATAATTTGAGACAGCTCAGGGATGAATTTAAAGGTTGACTTTGTAAGATAAAGGTTTTATTAACTCTTTGATGCACCAGCAGCCAGGAAACCTAACAGCTTGCACTGGTGGTGTCATGAACCTGCTGTCATATGACTCTTTTGTGCCTTTCAGTACAGAGTCATTCATCTCCCAGCAGTGCAGTCTCGAGGTCATGGGTTGAATGTCGTACCCTCTCCCAGCTGTAGCCCCACCATACGTGTCTGGTAGCTGCTCTGGAAGACAGTAACGTTTCATCCAGCTGGGGGATTGTACCCAGCCCACATTGAAGATCCAAGGCTGATAGCGTGGTTGGGTCCAGTCCAAAGAACTCAGCTGATAGCTCCTTGGTTCCTGCAGAGGGCATTGTGGCTCCACACAACCCGACGTTTTGCTCTCATAGAACTTTCCCAGGAAGCAACTGGTCTCCATCCAAGCCAGACATCCTGCCACTTCATCATATCGCTCCCTCTCTCTCCTTCCCCTGGCCTTCCTGCTCTGCCTGAAATTCCCCTGCTGAAAGTCTCTCAGGTGAGCTTGGTGAACACCCCAGTAATGTCCCCGACCATCCTCACAGCGGCTCACCTTCACAAAGCAGTCGTTCACAGATAAGTTGTGCCGGACGCTGTTCCTCCAGCCCGGACCCCGGCTCCTGAGGTAGGGAAACTGCTCCTCCATTGCTTTGTAGATGGACGCCAGGTGGAGTTTCTGGAAGGGGGAGGACAGGATGACTTTGGCAATCAGGGCAATGTAGGAGGGGGAGGGCTTTGGGAGGAACTGCGTGTCTTCTGAGGAGGGATTGTCTGAGGAGCTCATCACGTTGTCTGTATTGGTGAGGATGCCCTCATAGGTACTGACAGCATCTTCCATTGGTGCAGCCATTTCTTGTGCACTGATTTCTCTGCTGTTCTCTTCTGTCTTAGACGCATTTATGAAGTCACATCCTGCTTTTTCCTCTTTCATGTATGACGTGTCCTTGAGATGTTGTCTTGTTCTTCCTTTCTCTGTATTCATGGTTTATTTTTTTACTTCGACTGACTTCCAAGTCCTAGCAACGCAGTAAAATTTGAAGTCTCCTGTCGGTATCAAATCCAACATCCTCTGACAGTTTGGTTCTTTCCTGTTGGACAAAATTATTATCTTTCCAAACAGCCTTTACATGCTTTTATACAGTCCATAACCAATCCAGGAGGAGTTCACCATTCTTCAGTTAAGACACAACGATCTTACTCACTGTTAAAATATGTGTTTTATTTGCTCAGTAAGATTAAGGACTAACCACTTTGGTCATGGCTTTGGCTGGACATGACACTTTGTCACAGCTGTGAGATAAACACAGGAAATAGTACAAACACAATGCATAACTGTAAACTGTATTATTCTGGTATCTGTGCTGAATCTTGATATGGGATAAGCAGATAAAAGAATAAGCTTATGTGGAATGGTTGTTTCAAACATACTACCAGGCTTTCACAGTTATTGCACCATCAGAGAGTCAGCGATTGGTCAGTGGATATTATTTTGGAAGCCTAAACAATATGTAAATGCCATTTGTTCTGTTTTAGACCTTATGTGACCCATTGTGGGCCAAAAGCAACAAAACACAAATAGCTGCCATGGTAAATCTCATGCTTGTTGCGTAAATAGCGTTATAGCTCTCCAAGGAACAGTTAGTTCAGTTGTACAAGAGCAATGTCCTCAAAACTTTAAAGTGGGGTAGTTTTGCTGTAAGAAAATTAGATAATTATCAATCTATAGTAAATTATAGTAGAGCAGATTATTTCACACAAATGATCTGCCTCAAAGAGGCACGAGGATGATATTTTCTCCGCCTGAGTTTAGACTACTGTACATAGTTTAAGTCCCTTCTGGCCTATTTATAGTGTTGGCCCTTGCAACAATGTCATCTGTAACACGACTCCATCTGGTAAGTCAGAGCATGTTGAATGTCAGTTGCCAGAAACAGAAGCAGTGCAGTTCACTTCCCGCTGACTCTTTCACAGAGAGCCCCATGGAGTTTGTGGGACAACAAAGACCTTCTGAGGCCTGTGGCCTCTTAGGAGTGCCAGGGCTCAGCATCTTGGACCTGGACCTGGACGATGATGAGGGTGAGGTGGTGATCGGCATCAGGCCCAAATCTTCTCCTCTCCCACGGAGAAAGAGCTCTATCTCTGATGAGGAATTGGACCCTGAGCCACCCCTGTGCGGCTCCAGGAGAGTGTCTTTTGCAGACTCCAACAGGTCTCAGTTTGGTACATGTGAAGGAGTTTGGCACTTGGGATGTACCCAAGCTGCCAGGATATGAATCTTCTGAGAGCGAATGTAAAGATGAAGAGGAATACTTCCTATCTCCTTTTACTTTTTCCCTTCCATTATCTACTGAGGAGTTGTTCGTCAAAGTCCGGGATCAGAAAGTGGAGTTGGAAAATATCGAGTTGCTTCCAGGGACCACAATACTGAGAGGAATGATCCGTGTCCTCAACATTTCCTTCACTAAGGCAGTATATGTCCGAACCACTTTGGACACCTGGTCCACCCACTTTGATCTCTTGGCAGAGTACATCCCCGGCTCAAGTGACAATCTGACGGACTGTTTCTCCTTTAAGCTCACCTTAGTGCCACCATTTGGGGAGCAGGGAGCCAGAGTTGACTTTTGTCTGCGATATGAGACTCCTGTGGGAAC